TGTGTGTGTGTGTGTGTGTGTGTGTGTGTGTGTGTGTGTGTGTATCCAGGATAGAAAGTACATGGTAGAGCCAGTATTCATATACACATATTCAGTATACACAAACACACACACACACGTGGGCACATGCACATATAATTTGCTTATGTGTATATACACACACACACATACATACATACAGTGCATTACTTAATATGGCCCTTCTAGCCATAAAACCAAAAAACCCTTTACCATCCAGTCGATTCTGACTCATAGTGACCCTATAGGACAGAGGAGAACAACCACATAGGGTTTCCAAGGAGTGCCTGGTGGATTCGAACTGCCGACCTTTTGGTTAGCAGCCGTAGCTCTTAACCACTATCCCACCAGGGTTTCCCTTCTAACCACAGTCTTTGTAATTCCCACCAAATGACTGGGTGGGACTATGCTTGTGGCCCACCAAGGGGATTGGATAGCTTGCTAATAATGTAACATGCATAGCACCCTTGTGGGGATGTGACCATGCAAATAAGGTATACGGAACCCTAACAAGGGGATTGGTCAGTTTTGCCATCCTGCTAGGCTTTAAATGAGCCATCCCAAAGGGAAGAAGGGAGGATCTTACCACCACCAAGAGGTAGGAGTGGAGTATGTCCTTTAGACTCGGGATCTCTGTGCTAAGAAGCTCCTGGAACCAGGAGAGCTGTAACACCAAAGATGGTGAGAAATGGCAGCAGAGAAATGGTGGCAGCAGAGGCAGGAGACCAGCAGGAGATGGTGTGGTGGGCTTCCAATGCTATGCAGTGAGAAAGCTGAGTGCCTTCAAGCAGGAGGCTTGCTGGCAGAGTAGGGTGCCTCCAGAGCACTTGGTGTAGCTAGGTTTACCAACCTACGGAGCTAGAGCTGAGTGCCTTTGGTCCAAGGCTTACTGGTGGAGTGGGGTGCCTCTAGGAACCTATCAGCAGAGCTAAAAGAGCTTTGTAACACTTGCCCAGGCAGGGCAAAGGCCGAGGGGCCAGAGAGAGGCATGTTTGCAGGTACAGCTGAGAAGAGGCTGTCCTGATCGAAGAACTGTATCCTGAGTGTTCCTGACCCTGAATTGTAAACTGTTACTTCCCTAATACACCCCATAACTGTGAGTTCCGTGTGGCTGTTGCAATGAATTATCGAACCTCAAAATCAGCAGAGAAGTAGAGTGTCGTGGGAGGGGCGGCTGGTGTCAGAATTGGTAAAAAGGTTGGAGAGCAGGCATGTCTGACCTCTGCCTCATAGCAATCAGTCTTGGGCTGCTGATCTTCTTTTTTCCCCTGGTGAAGTGAGAGGAGGTCAGATGCCTCTGCCATGCCATTTTTACAGTATATATATATATAAATCATATATAATTCCTTCACCCAAAGCTGACACTACTACTATCTGAAGCATATGTTCCTTTAAGTCTATGTTATTTTATCCTTTTGACACCAAGTTATATAAAATTCTATTTTTCTGTTTCAAATGGTAACATGCAATTCCTGTCATTAAAGATCTCTGGTCACTTTAAATGGCTTATGAAAAGCCTATAAGGCTTCAAGTGTTGTGGATGAATTAATCATTTCCATCCCTTACACTAGGAGTTGGCAAACTTTCTCTGTAAAGGACCAGGTAGTAAATATTTTCAGTTTTGTGGGCCATATGGTCTCTGTTGCAACTACTCAACTCTGCTGTTATAGCTCAAAAGCAGCCCAGATGAGAGGTAAAGAATGGGTGAGGCTGTGGGCAATAATACTTTATTTACAAGCAGTGGGCCCCCAGGTCGTACACTACTGACTCCTACCTCAGATAAACCCTGTGGTCATAAAGTTTTGAGGGTCAATCTTTCTTAGCATTTAGATGATTTCTTAAGGATGGATTCTCAGAAGGTGAATATTAGGGAAAAAGGAAAGGGCATCCTCAATGCCCTCATTATCCAAATCTCTACCAGAAAGGTTGTTCTAATCGACGCCTCCACCTAAATGTTTACTGACTTAATAAGGATAGTCTTCAGGGGCATCCAAAACCGGAGCTCCATACCCAGATAATAAACAGAAAAAGAAAGAAGGACCGGAAGGAATACGCCAGCTGTTAGCGATGGTAATCTCTAAGCAGCCCGACCATTGTTGATGTTGTTAGGTGGTGTTGAGTCAGTTCTGACTCATAGCAACCCTACGTACAACAGAACGAAACATTGCCCGGTCCTGCGCCATCCTCACAATTGTTGTTATGCTCGAGCCCGTTGTTGCAGCCATTGTGTCAAACCATCTCGTTGAGGGTCTTCCTCTTTTCTGCTGACCCTCTACTTTACCAAGCATGGCAATTTTATTCTCTACTTTTCTACACTTCCATATTTTTGACAATGAGCAAGTATGACTTTTTTCCATTAGAAACAAAAACAAATAAATATAAAAGTATTTCCAGCCAGCAGCTGCTTCCCTAAGTCCTTCTAAAGACACATCTTTTACAGTCTGTCTCTCAAAATCCAACACATCTTACACAAAGGCCGGCCTTGTGCGAAATGAAATCCTCAAAGTTCCACTTAGTTTGAGGAAAAACCAACTATCAATGCCCACAATGCAATGCAGAAGAAACACGTTGTCTCAGGCTCACCAGTGCCTTCCCCCTTGCAGAAAATTACACTGATGGAGCTGGGGTCTGACAAGATTAAATGAAACAACGGCGTACGCAGCTGCCCTCGCACCCGTTTATCATTTGGGGTCAGTCTCACCAGATTTCCCCTGGGGCAGAGACTCTGCTATAGATTGAACTGTGTCCCCAAAAAGATACGCTGATATCCTAATCCATGCCCTCTAGCACCTATGAATGGGACCCTGTTTGGAAATAAGGTCTTTGAAGATGATATCAGTTAAGTGAACTTACTGGACTAGGGTGGGTCCTAATCCCATCTGAGTCCTGGCCTTCTAAAGGAGGAGGAGATACAGAGAGACACACAGAGGGATAATGGCCATGTGAAGATGCATGTACAAGCCATGGATAGCCAAGGAACACCTGGGTTACAGAAGCTGGGTGAGACAAGGAAGGCTCTTCCTCTGGAGCCCACAGAGAGAACATGGCCCTGCTGATGGTTTCAGTTTGGACTTCCAGACTCCAGAACAGTGACGCACTAAATATATGTTCTTATAAGCCACTCACTTTGTGGTATTTTGTTACAGCAGCTCTAGGAAGCTAATACAGATTGAGAGGCTTTGGATGAAGCATTTCGGCCAGCAGGCTGGACTTCACAATACCTTGTCGTGAGGTGTCACTCGGTGAAGCAGGACCTTGGCAGTGAGGGATGGTGGTAGCTGGGTGCTAACAATCCTAGGAGGTTAGACACAAGAACAAGAACTACAGTGAGAAGAAACACACTGAAGAACCCTGAGTTTTAAAAGATTCCTAACGTCCCATGTTGGTTAGGCTCTCCGGCATAGGGCTGGTGAGTTTCAACAGGTAAAGGCCTTAGGCGAGGCACTCTGGCAGCTCCTATCAAAATTTAAAATGCCCAAACCCTCCACCCTGGCCTGCACTGAGATTTCTATGCATAAGAATATTCATTACAGTGAAACTATACTCATAAAAAATAGATAAACAAACAATGTCTGTCAAAAAGAAAGTAGTTCAATAAATCACGGTGTAAGCCATAACAACAAAAAATATGTAGCCGCTTCAAGAATAAGGCAGACCTATATAGAGTGATGGAGCCCTGGTGGCACAGTGGTTAAGAGCTCACTTGCTAACCAAAAGGCTGACAGTTCAAATCCACCAGCTGCTCCTTGGAAGCCCTACAGGGCAGTTCTACTCTGTCCTATAGGGTCGCTATGAGTCGGAATCAACTCAATGGCAACAGGTTTGATTTATATGCACTGATGGAGTTCTGGGTAGTCCAAATGGTTAAGTGCTCAGCTGCTAACGAAAGGTTGGCAGTTTCAATCCACCGAGGGGCACTCTGAAAGGAAGCCCTGGCAATTTATTTCCAAAAGGTCACAGCCATTAAAAACCCTACATGCAGTTCTACTCTGACATACATAGGGTTGCCATGAGTAAGTCAGAATCGACTCAGTGGCAACTGGTTTTCTTTTTTTTTTTTAATATGGACTGATATGGAAATCTCTAGTATATACATAAAGTTGAGGAACCATACGATCCTATTGACATGAACAGTGAAAATAAACAAAATCAACATGTGTACGTGCACAGGTGTGTGAAAACAGAGAGAGAGAGCAATGGAAGATGCCACCTAACTGCCAGTAGTGGAGGAGGGCTGACAGTGAGGGGGAGCTTTTAAATTGTGCTCTGTGTATTGCTCTATTGGTTGTTTTTGTTTTTGCAAAGAAAATATCTTCATGCATTAGCTGTACAATTTTAAAATACATGTAGAAACCAGTTGTCGTGCAGTCAATTCTGACTCATGGCAACCCATGTGTGTCAGGGTAGAACTTTGCTCCATAGGGCTGATTTTCAGAAGTATATGGCCAGGCCTTTCTTCTGAGTTGCCTCTGGGTGGAATCGAACCTCCAACATTTTGGTCAGCAGCTGAGCATGTTAACCCTTTGCACCACCCAGGGACTCCTAAAAATATGTAAGATATGCAAAATAAAGAAGGAAAAAAATATTATCTTTGTGTCACTAGTGAGCCTGGAAGCACCACAAGATGACTCAGAACCATCGTAATGAAAACCGGGGAATGGGAAGAGGGGTTAAGTGCTGAAGGCCATTGTGCACCAGGCTTGGTCCTTCTACATTCATCATACACTGAGGTTAAGCAACTTGCTGAAGGCCCCACAGCTGGTAGAAAAGAGACCAGCATTCAACACGCAGCCTGTGAGGCCCAGAGTCCTGCAGGAGCCTGGAGCGCTTCTCTCGGTGCGCCTGTAACTGACCGTCAGGAAGCTCTGGCCGCAGAGCACTGGCCCTGCCTGTCCTGGGCCGGGAGAGGAAACCCTTCAGGAGGAGAGATGCATGGAGTGGCCCTTAGGCACTCAGGCTCCCAGAGAGGCCCTCCAAGGAAGTGAAGAGGAGCAGTGTCTTCTCAGAGGCCAATCAAGAGACGGACTGCAGCTGAGAGGCCAGCAGGAGCCTGGATAAAAGCATGTAATGTGCTCTGCAGAGCTGAGCCACAGCAGGCGAACCAGGGTCCCTGGTTAGCAGGAGGGACAATGGGCTTCCACATCCCTTTACCTTACATGCTGGCTGCTGGCAACGCTGGGGGCTTGGTCAGCCTTCTGCAGACAGCTCAAAAGGAAATCTGATATGGAATTTCCTTTCTGATAAGACTTGGCCCCATCCTGACAGCTAAAAGGATTTCCTTAAAGCTGCCTTTTATTTTACTTATTTATTTTTATTGTGCTCTAGGTGAAAGTTTATAAAGCAAATTAGCTTCTCACTCAACAATTTATACACAAATTGTTTTGTGACATTGGTTGCATAAAGCTGCCTTTTATATTCCTGTTTTCTGAACACCACAAAATTCCAGTTTCCCAGCTTTGCTGAAAGACAGGCACATAGCCCAGATCAAACCTAAACCACTTGTTAATTGCTGTGCCATCCCACTTTCAACTACAAGAGACTGAGCCCCTTGCCCAGGGTGTGGAGGCAGCTGGGATGGCAGTGCTGCTGTGGGGAATAGGATGGTGGAGAGGGTCTGGTGCTACTCACAGGCCCTTGTAGAGGATGCAGCCAGCCAGGATATGAGGCGAGCGCTGACAGGTCTGCAGGATGAGGGCCGCTTTCAGCAACAACAGGGGCTCCACCTGTGCCGGGCGAGAAGCGTGCCTCAAGTTAGTATGCTCACCATCAGCGAGGGCGAGGAGGAGGGAGGTGGCTTTACAGCACAGATGCACAGGTCCTGACTTGAGCCTGGAAAAAGGAGACTGTGGTACTCAGTAAAATCTGCATCTATTCCACCTCTCTACACCCAGAACTGGTGACATTACAACATGCCACATTCTTGGAACAAAGTGGTGTCTCTGGAAGCTAGAAGGTACAGCAGAATATGGCATGTGGCTTTCCGAGCAGACAAAGTAGACTGCCTGACCATCAGTGCAGAGACCAGGCGGCAGCAGGAAAGGAGGGCATGCCCCTCAGATGCAGGTCCTGGTGCAGGTGGAACTCACTGCCCCATCTTCCCCCTCCCTCCGAAATACAAGCCCCGCTGTGATACAGCTCAACATCCAACCGAGTCCCACATATCTATCCCATCACATAAAATGAAACCATCATGATCTATCACTCAGGGAAATACACTTTGATTTCCCATTCCTTCTAAGGAGTCAATTGCCCAGGAGTTCCTAAAAATACAAGAAAAGGATCTGATGCTGCAGATCCCCAGTAGCTGTCAGGACTCAGTGTTGAGCAGCCACATTCAGGTGCTGTCGTCACATTAAGAAGATGGTTTATTTTCTTTCATGGCTTCAAGACTGTGCCCAGTCCCAGCTAGCCATTCTGGAAAGCTTTGGGGCTGACTTCAAGAAGTCCTCTAAACATGAGCAGGGGCCAACCTGTCCTCATTTCTAGTGGAGTCGTGCTCTGTGAAGGCTGGGCCACAACACCACATCCTGTTAAAGGCACATCATCAACCCAGGCAGTGAGACAGCCTGCACATAACAAAGGGCTGCCACTGCAGTGGGTCTCATTGTCTGAGATGCTCAGGGCGCAAGTGGTCAGTTCTTAAGGGGCACAGGCCTTGCATTTCCCTTTGGCCCTCTGACAATGAGGATCTGGTGTTCACCAAGGTCAAGAGCACTGAGCAACAGGCAGTGCAGTACACGCTGAGGGCAGCCACATGCCAAATGGAACAGCTCAAGGAGACAAAAAAACACTTCCCAGCCACTCTCTCCAAATACAGCAGCCTCGTTTTTAAAATGTTAGCACCATGCATTTCTGATGTTGAGAATGATTAAATAGTATGATATGAAGATCAAGAGAGAAGGGGACGACAGAAAGTGGTGATGGTCAAACAACAAGATGAATGTAATTAATGTTGTCAAATTGTACATGAAAAAAATGTGGAAAAGGCAAATGTTGTTATATATACTACTTTTACCACAGTTTAAAAAAGAGAGAGAGAGAGGGCGCAGGGAACATTCAGATTACTGAGTTCAACATTTCTGAGGCATTAGCAAAATAATAATCGTCTTTACTGAGCATTTACTTTGGGTCATTTCAAGTACTGTCTCGTTTTATTATTAAAACGGTTCCAGAAGGCAGGCGTGACTACACCATTTTATAATAAGGAAAGAGAGGTTCTGAAAGGTGACCTGACTCATCCAGGCTCACACAGCTAGTGAGTGGAGGCGTGGAATTTGAACACAGGTCTTAACAACTACCCTTACTGAGAAATGACACATGCCATTCACTTCTCTAGACACAGTTCATTCAAGGAGAAAAAAAGGGGTTAGGAGGGGACCAAACCTCTATTCCTAAACATGAAATGAATAAGGAGTATCAGAATATTACTTTAGTCCTGTCCAAGTTCCAAAGGGAATTGAATATCTTATGCAGATCACCAGTGTTTTCCAGAATTTGCTCAATGAAGGTGTCCCACTCCATGCTCAGTTCTTCCTGAGGACAGTTCTAGAAAAGAAACAGCCTGAGGTCAGTATCTGAGATTTTGAGACACAGACTCTTTGGCAAGGATCCCAACTACCACAAAAATGGCTGCTCACACAGGACACTGGCCAGAAGCGGCTGTTTTGAACTTCCTACACACACCAGAGCCCCCACCACACCCCTGCTAACCTGCCTGACCACAAGGTGCCTGCTGGGTCAGGGTGGCAACCAGGGTCTGCTCCTTCTAACCATCCCAAGGAGGAGAAAAGAGAGACAAACCTAGGAATGAGTGTGGCCTATGCTACTGCGGCTCTGAGGACACTGCTCTTGACCTTGTCACTGGACATGATACGTTTATGTAAAGGATAACAGACCCCAGAGTAAGTGCTGTGTTCCAGCAATATTAGTTTTGTTAAAGAGGCCCTCGACACCATACTCATACCTCGTAAGCCAGAGAAACAGGTCCATTGTAAAAGCTAAAGAAGCCAATTAGCTGATCCAGAAACTGCTTGCAGCTGACATCAGGGATATCCACAGCACAGCCTAGCACCTGCAAAGAGGGAAACCAGGAAGACTGGCATTTCCTTTCCTTTGAGTCCAAGCCTAGAATCCCAGGACCCAGGTTCTCTATAGCCAGACCTCGCTAAGCAATCAAAAATGTGCTTCCATTGCCCCGGATCACAATACCCTACTCCAACCACACTGGTCTCCAGTGAACAATTTCTGTTGTACCTTCAGTAGTGTTGCCCAGCCTGAAATGCCCTCCTCCTTCCTGTTCATTTACCCAGGGCTTACCCATACCTTCAAGTGTCCACCACAGATTCTACACCTCCCTGACACCTGTCTGATAACTCCAGCCAATGCTGGCCTCTATTCTGACTCCTTGTATTGCAAGAACACTGAATATTTAATGTGGGTCTCACTACAAACACTGGACAGGTCCTGAATGCCTTCATGCATGGCCATCTTGTCTCCCCAGCTGGAGGAAGTGCTTGGACAGTAGGAACTGACTGAATCATACAGCTCTAGGTCCAAAATGCTGAGCAGAGTACTTAGTTCTACACAAGAGAGTTAGAAAGTCATTTGGCCATATGTTTAAAGAGCCTGAAAAAGTTAATACTTCGACACAGTAATCCTATCACTAAGAATTTGTATAAAGGGAACCACTAGAAACTCAACAACAAAAAAAAAAACTGACAAAAAAAAAAAAAAATCCCTCAAAGTGTAATCTACATTAGGATGGGGATCTTTGTCTTGCTCACTGATGTAATCCAAGAGCTCACAGCAATGTGGCACATAGTAACTGCTCAACTGATTCTTCCCCAATTGATCTACAGAGTCCATGTACTTCCAATCATAATCTCACTAGCATTTTTATAAACACTGAGAAGCTGATTCTAAAATGGAAATACAAAGGGCCTAAAATATCCAAAGCAATCTTAAAACAGAACAAGGCTGGACGATCTGACTTAAGACTTATTGTAAGGCAACAGAAATCAAGACGGGCAAAGGTTTCTTGACAGGACACAGAAAGCAATAACCATAGGAGATAAAATTGATAAATCAGACTTCATTAATATTAACAACTTCAGCTCACCAAAAGATATCATTCTGAAAATTAATAGGCCAGACACAAAGTGGGAGAATATATTTACAAAATACATATCTGACAAAAACTGGTATCCAGGATATATAAAGAATTTCTACAATTAAATTTTAAAAAAATTTTTTTAAGTGGGCAAAAGCTATGAACACACACTTCACAAAGGAAGATACACAAATGGACATTAAGCACATGAAAGTCTCAATCTCATCAGCCATTAGGGAAATGAAAATTAAAACCACAATGATATACCACTCCACATCCACCAAAATGGCTGAAATTAAGCAGACCGACAACATCAACGTTGACAAAGATATGGAGTAACCAGAATTATTATACATTCTTGGTGGAAATGTAAACTGGTACAACCACTTTGACAAAAAAGTCTAGCAGTTCCTTACAAAACCCACATATGCCTATCTTATAACTCAGCAATTTCACTCCTAGATATTTACCCAAGAGAAATGAAAACGCATGTCCACAAAGAGACGCAACAGGAATATTCCTAGCACTTATTCAAAACTGCCAAAAACTGGACACAATCCAGGTGTCCATCAAAAGAAGAATAAATGAATAGACCATAGGATTTCAGACAATGGAATACTGTTCAACAATAAATAGGAACGAACTACTGATACATGCCACAACATCGATTAATCTCAAAAACATAAAGGAGCATGAAGGAAGCCTATCAAAGTAATACTATAGTATTATTCCACTCATATGGTGCTCTAAAACAGGCAAAACCATTCTAGGCAGGAAGAAATCCAGAACAATGGTTGCCTGGGATAGGTTGCTGCTTGCTGTTGAGTCAACTGAGACCTTATATGACAGAACAGAACAGCACCATAGGGATTCCTAGGCTAAAATCTTTATGGGAGCAAATCACCAGGTCTTTTCTCCCAAAGAGCAGCTGGTGGGTTTGAACTGCCAACCCTACGGTGAGCAGCCGAGTACTTAACCACTGCGCTACCAGGGCTCCTTGAGAGGCTGGTAGGAGCCTGGATAAAAGCATGCAATGAGCTCTGCAGAGCTGAGACACAGCAGGCACACCAGGGCCCCTGGGAAGCAGGAGAAAGCAAGGACAGGCTTCCATGCCCATTTACCTTACAGGCTGGCTATTGGCAATGCCGGGGGCTTTGCATTAGCCTTCTGCAGACAACTCAAAAGGAAATTTGATAAAGAACTTCCTTTCTGATAAGCCATGGTCCTGGAATAAGGGAGGGGACTAACTGGGGAGGCTGAGGAGGGAGCTGAGGGAACTTTCTGGGGTGGTGATGATGTTCTGTATTTTGACAGGGATTTGTGTTGCACAGGTATGTCATTTGTCCAATGCATCAAATGGTAAACTCAAGATTTGTCTATTTCATCATATGTAAATTTTACCTCAAAAGAAAAAAGACCCCAAAGCAAATAGTGAACTCTAGTTAATGATAATGCACGATCAAGTACCGTGGGGCAAAAGTGTACTAATGTGTGCAACTTACTTGGAAAAATATCTAAAAAATAAGTTGGACTGATAGAAGGATAAAGGCATGAATAGATAGGTATGTGATAAACGACTATAATAAAATCTTAATTGTAGGATTTAAGAGGTATCTGAATATTCACTGTAAAATCTGCTCAACTGTCCTGTGTGTTAAAGAAAATTTTCATAACGATGGAAAATAACTGCAAAGTTGAATATCCTACCCCACACTTAAACATCCCTTTACCTCTGAAAGCCTTAAAATAAGTACCAACCCACTGCCGTTGAGTCAATTCCGACTCACGGCGACCCCGTGTGTGTCAGAGTAGAACTGTGCTCCATGAAGGGCGTTCAGTGGTTGTAATCTTATGGAAGTAGATCGCCAGGCCTTTCTTCCAGTATGCCACTGGGTGGATTTGAACCGCCAATCTTTCGGTTAGTAGCTCAGTGCAAACCATTTGTGCAACCCAGGGACCTTTAAAATAAGTGTATGAGAAACTAAGTAAGTAAATAAAATAAGTGTAAGCACTGGAAAATGGAACTTTAGATTACCCGGTACTACTAGTGCAATTTTTATTGTGGTAAAATATATGTAACATTTTCCATTTTAATCATTTTATCTGTACGATTCAGTGACATTAATTATGCTCACCATATTGTGCAACCATCATCACTATCTGTTTCCAAATATTTTGACCACCCCTTCAGCAATATCTCCCCATCTCCCCCTCCCACCTGCCCTGGCAACCACTAACAAACTTTGGTCTCTATGCACTTGCCTACTCTGGATATTTCATATAAGTGAGACAATGCAATATTTGTCCTTTTGTGTCTGACTTATTTCACTCAGCATTATATTTTCAAGGTTCATCCACGTCATAGCATGCATCAGAACTTCATTTCTCTTTATGGCTGAATTAATATTCTGCTGTATGTCATACCACATTTTGTTTATCTATTCTTCTGTTGAAGGACATTTGGCATTCTTTTTTTTTTGGAATGGAGTCTTTGAAACTTATATGTATCATTGTCTGACAGTTTCTGGCTCACTTACACAGTGTAGAGGGTATAGAGAAGTACAGAAGTACAGCAAGTATAAAGAAGCAAAGATGGAGACAAAAACTCAATTTGCAACACAAGCTAAATAGAATTTCCACAGGTTGGCCTAAGGTTTTCAGAAAGGAGAACCCAGCCACGAGCAGTCGGGGATACGCTAGAAATGTTTCGGCGAGCACTCAGTTATGGTGAGCATCTGCAGGAAGCGGCACTGGAGGCGAAGAGGACTGCTGAGCACCGTACGTCGGGGTGGGGGCAGAGGGAGGATTTTGGACTCAAGAAAGCAGTACTTTCTAGGCTTTATTGTCACAGCACTTACTACCAAGACGGATGGCTGACTCACGGCAGAAGGCAATCTGTTGGCACAGGTTCTGCCTGTTGAACTTACCCAAAGGTAATCTCCGTCAACCTTCACGGCAAACTTCAGTTTCCGCAGACGAATGAGAGTGGGCGGAGAGCCAGAAATGTCTGAGACACAGTGGACAACTCCAGCAATCTGTCCACAAAGCAACTCCTGTTGGTCAAGCAGCGTCTATGGGAAAGGAAATTCCAGATAGGAAGCTGAAATTCTTCAACTCCGTGTCAGTCCTTAGAACAGGGGCTGGCAGTCAGCCTGTTTTTACATGGTCCCTGAGCTAAAAACGCTTTCTTACATTTTTAAAGGGTTATATTTAAAAAAAAAAAAAAAAAGAATATGTGAAAGAGACCTTATGTTGTCTTCAAAGCCTAAAATATTTACTATTTGGCTCTTTAGAGAAAAGGTTTGCCAACTCCTGCCCTAGAGGACTGAATTACTATGGAATACCCACAACGAACACATAAGATGATTGCATATTAGTGTACCTTTGCTCCTAAGATTATAGGCACATGCATGATGGAAGCATGAGCCTTTCATCCCCATTCAAATCCCCAGCACAGAGTGGCTAAGTGGCCTGTCTGGGTTAATCCCAACCAGCCAGATCGGAGCATCATCACATGGTGTGAGAATATGCACAGCCTCCCCATCAGTCTTAGCACCAACTAAACATGGGACAACCTGACACTGTGGGCCTCATTATGCGATGCCAGAGAACACATACACACCCCCTATAAAGAATTTTTGCCTAAGAAATTGATCAAGGCTCTAGATATTACCACTAGTTTAAATGAAATTCAGTGGATAGAACACAGTAAAGGACATCCCCACAAGGAAGCAGTGGGCCAAATCCAGAATGGGAGACTTTCTGACATCCTGCTGCACAGATGACCTAGTTTCTTCAAGAATTCAGTGGCATGTGGGGGAAAAAGGGTGGGTGAGTTTTAAGAAAGACTTAAAACACAGAATTTAATTATACAGGTCTTTGTTTGGGTCTTGATTAAGAGAGAAAAAGTGGTGGGGAGAAGTGAAAAAGGAGAAGGGAAGGAGGGAGGAAGGAAGGAAGAAAAAATTGTAAGTGATATTTAAGAAAACAAGGCAAAACTTAGATATGGACTTGGTATCAGATGATATAAAAGAGTTATTATAACTATTGTAACTTTTACTAGGTGTGATACTGCTAAAAAATTCCCTTTTCACTTAGAGATGTCACTTGAAGTATACACAGCGTGAGATGCAACAATGTCTACGATTCACTTCAAAATACTCTAGATAAAAAGGGATGGGTCATACAAAAATAGCACAATGTTGACAATTGTTGAAGGTAGTGATGGGCATATGAGGGTTCATCATATTCTCCTCTCTACCTTTGTATATGTTTGAATAAAAGTTTTTCTTAAAACTAAGCTGGTCAAAACATTGGGGGTAGGGGGAGGCAGACAAAAAATCATGATGGGAATAGAGAGCTGGAGAAGATGACAGTTCTGAGCTGCTTGGGAATTTTAAGACCAGAACATGAAATAGTACAATCAAGAATAAAACAGTAGACATTTCAAATGCCTGGATTATCGAGATAAAACCGTCCCAGTCTAACCCTATAGTTTTGAAAAGTCGCTACTTTGAGGCAGTGGGATCCCCACTGAACAATGAAATGCTGTGTGGCTTACCTGAGCGGGATAAAAATAACAAATACCAGCTCTTGTTGGATCTCCTTCTTCCTTTACCTTTGAACCATCGTAAAGGAAAAAATAATTCCACCTGGCAAGAGAACAGACCAGGGCCATGTTTCCTTTCATCCAGTGATAATAGCATTTTAAAACACAGCTTCCTATTTCCCAGCCCCAGGAAGGCTCATTATTCAGGGTCTGAAAAGCCTTCTAGTGTCCCCAGAGGAGAGCAAACTCAGGAGCTGCAAACAGATAAAACCGTTCCACAAGTGCAGCAGAGTCCAACTAAAAATATGCTGACATCCAGTCATCAGGCCATCTGCCCAAAAAGAAATGAGCAGCTAGAGGAAGAACAAGCACCCACAATGACAGTTCATATTTGAAATATTGAACCTTAACTACATAACCATGTGGTTTGGTAAACCGTCCTTTAAGGCTGTGATAAAATAAGTTAGGGATGTCTTAGGTGCTCTCCTCACAACTGCTGAGCAGGATCATCTTGGGAAATAGCTTTTCCACCAGGAATTCATGCATCCATTCAGCAAACACTTACTGAGGGCTGCGGGGGTGCGTGTGTGCGTGCGTACGTGTGTGTAGCCCTAGGACTACAGTGATAAGAGGCAGATGAACAAACATGCCGTTCAGGGCAGTGAGCCCACAAGGAGGGGTAAACAGGAGCCTATAAAGAGTTCACAGAGAAACACTTAACCTCTCTCTTGGCCTGTCAAAATCTTACCAGTCCTTTATGTATATCTCAAACACACACCCTCCACAACTTTCCCGATGCCCTTGGCCCAGAGGAACCTTTCTTCTGAATTGCCATAATCCTCTATTCGTCCCTAAAGACTCTCATAGTCTGCTGTTAGCTGCCGTCCAGTTGGCCCCCGACTCCTGGAAACCCCATGCACAAAAGAACGACATACTGCCCAGGTCGGATCCCTGTGATCCATAGGGTGTTTGCTGGTTGATTTTTGGAAGTAGACTGCCAGTCCTTTCTTCCTAGTTCATCTTAGTCTAGAAACTCCACTGAAACCTGTTCAGCATCCTAACAACCCGCAAGCCTCCAATGACAGATGGGTGGTAGCTGCGCATGAGGTGCACCGGCCTGAAATCAAACCCGGGTCTCCCACATGGAAGGCAAGAATTCTACCACCGAACCACTGCTGCCTTTCTTATACACTACCCTGTAGTATAACTGTAATTGCTTAATGTTCTTATCCGATGAACTCTTTAAGACTAAAGCAAACTCCTCAATGGCTGGAGGGGGACTCTACTTCTGTACCTCTGAAAGCGCATTTATTTGAGTACAGTATAAAGGAAGAAGAGCTGTGACCGCCCTCTTCTCACCCTCTTCTCCTCTCAATCTACACTCTCTCCCGGGCCACCCCCTCTGGCTCCCACCTCATTTTCCTGATGACAAGCACCAGCTCTGTCTCGAGCACAGTCTGCTTTTTGAGTTCAAGGACCAAACACGCAACTGCCTGTGGGGCAAGTCCAGATCTTTCCACCAAACCCAACTCAGAAACCTCACAGCTGCCCCGTCCTCTCCTTCCCCCACGTTCTCTGAGGGAAAGCCCCCTGCTCTTCCAGGCACACAAAAGAAAACCTGGATGCCATTTCGAACTGCATCTTTTTTACTTCCACATTTAATCAGTCACTAAATCTTGCTAATTCTACTTAAACCATGTCTTTCAATTTTATCTCCTCAATTAATGTTTGCTGACCTGAATTATATGAAAGGATTAACCCATTTGGGGTTGAGAAGGGAACTGGGTTTTAGACAGACATTATGTAATACCCCCCAAGAGTCAGACTGGCAAAACCCCTTCTCGTGGTGTAATTCTGAACTGCAATCGTCTCTCAAAAGAGGCTAATACAACGCCGACGGTATTACCAAAGCCGGCTGAATGATATGGCTAGGGCTTTCTTTCCTACGATCTGACAGAAAATACTGCAAGAGGCTTGCAAGATTAAAACAGGTTAGCTTTGGAAAGAAATGGCTCGTGTGCTTGATTCGGCTGCTCTGAGGAATCTGGCATTTTTTCCTGAATAAAATTAAGATAATCTGCCTGGGGATTTTCCATCAGCCCAGCAGTTTCATCCAGCAGCCTGGCAAAAGCAAAACCACGGCCAGCTTCGATACTCACCAAGAGGCTGACTTCGTCTCTGTGGAGGTGGAGGCGGCCATTTACTTTCCAATTGCCCTCATCCTCTTTCTTTGGGGTTTCTTTTCTGGTATCACCTCTTTCTCCCCCAGAGTGATGTTCCTCTTTTTCCCCGATCCAATGAATCTGGATGTGGCGGATTTAAGTGTTTTTAGTCACAACTGTCATTTGTTTAGTTTTCACTCAGCACGAAAGTGCTACTTCTCTTCCTTGTAGGCCTTGGAGTTCCATGAATATGTCTACACCCCTCAGAACTCTAGCAGAGAATATAATAAAGCAAGAGAATTCTACCAGAAAAATCAAACCTACTAGTCTGGTTCCATTAGCGTGAGTGTGGCTGTCTGCAGAATGAACTCTCTGGGAAGCTCCTCGCCAGGGAAGTTCAAAGTGGGAGATGCATGCTGAAGGCAGTGTTCAAAAGGGATTTCTAGCTTGTCCTATTCAAAGCTATTCTGAAGTTTCTTTGAAAAGTCTGAAGCTTCCAGTTCACACATCAGTACCTTGACCCTAGAATAAACACAAAGGATACATTATTTCATAAACCCATGAGAAAGCAACTGACCTAGCAGGATTAAGCCAATGGTATACTTCAAAAGGGCTTTCTACAAAGTTGAAGACTGTGTTTCCAAATAAAAAAGAGAGGGTAGCAGAAGACTTTAGAGTAAGTCCCTTAGTTTCTTGAAGAGTTATGGTGAATGCATCCCAGGCCTCACAGATGATAAAACTGAGTAACTAAAAAAAAATTTAAATAACTAGTATGAAAAGCTCTGGTATAAAAACAGCCATGTAAGGTCCCCAAGTGGCACAAATGGTATGCACTTGACTACTAACCTGAAGGTTGGTGATTGGAACCCACCCAGAGGTGCCTCAGAAGAAAGGCCTGGTGATCTGTTTCTGCTAAGATTATAGCCAAGAAAACCCTAAGGAACAGTTCTACTCTGTAACACATGGGGTTACTGTGAGTCAGAATCAATTGAATGATATATATATATTTTTTTTACACAAATAATGTGGCTGCTGTAGTAAACATTGCCATTGAGTCAATTCCAACTCACAGCGACCCTGTAGGACAGAGCAGAACTGCCCCATAGTTTCCAAGGCTGTAATCTTTACAGAAGCAGACTGCCGCATCTTTCTCCCGAAGAGTGGCTGGTGGGTTCGAACCACTAACCTTTCAGTTAGCAGCTGACCACTTAACCACTGTGCCACCGGGGCTCCGACAAATTAAGGAACTGGCACCTTGACAGCCTAAAAGTAATCTGAACATGCAGAATTCCACAGCTGGGCAAGTTTCTAAAACACACAAAAAAGAGAACTTTATCAAGTGGCTTCCAAACTCCCACAAGAGGAAGACAACTCAGTGTATCACGGAATTTCAGAGTCAGAAGGGGCCCTGGCATCATTTACTGTAACCCTCATCTTTTGTACTCTCCTCTAAAAACTGTCTCTGCCTTACTCCCACCAGAGACAGGAGGTCCACAGCTGTCAGATTTATCCTTCTGCCAAAAACAAAACAAAAAACAGCTGCCACTGAGTCAATTCCAACTTACGGCAACCTCAGGCGTGCAGAATAGGACCGTGCTCCATAGCGTTTTCAAGGCTGTGACCTTTTGGACATAGATCACCAGGCCTTTCTTCTGAGGCACCTCTGGGTGAGTTCGAACTGCCAACCTTTCAGTTAGGAGTCCAGGGCTTAACCATTTGCACCACCCAGGGAGTCCTCCTTTTACCAAGCTAAAACTAAAATCGACCTCCTAATAACCTCCACTCACTGGTCTGGAAAACACTTTCCAGGAAAACACAAAACTAGGACTCTTCCACATGACAACCCTCTGGTCACTCATAACTGTACTTCTATTGACCCTCTCTAAGGTGAACATTTCCAGCAACGTGGTCTCAAATATGTGCCCACCACTCTGTCACCCTCCTGGGAACACAATACAGTTTGTTAAAGCTCCTTTGGTGGAAAGACCCTAAAGAGGACCCTGCTGAACCTTCCACAGCCTGTAGAACGCTATCTTTTCTCAGCTCTAAATATGGGCCTCCGTAGACACAACTAAAAGGTGACCATGCTCACGGTATTCTATGGAGCACATTTACGTGCGTGTAGAGGGGGCATCTCAGCTCCCGGAACCATGCACAGCAGCCGGAAGGCCCTTCTCCCTTACCCGTTATTCCCAGATTAACTGGGTCCTCCACTCCCAGGGTCCATTCTCTTATCTCCGAAAGGTCCAGAAGCGGCCAGTAATGGCCCTGGGGTAGCGACGGTTGTCTAGATGTGATGAGAAGTGGCTCTGGCAGCCTGGGAACTGACAGAAATGACCTGAGGGAGTCAAGAAGTGGCTGGCAAAGCCTTGGGGGAAGGGCGGGATGTAGGAGGCGGCCTTAGTGGGTCAGCGGGCCTGAAAATGGGGCGCCAAAGGCTACGAGGGGCTAAGAAGCGGCCGGACACAGCCCCCGGGGGTCAGGAAACGACCAGCAGCCGCATGAAGAAACTGAGAAGCGTCTGACCTCAGCTCCAGAAGGCTGGGAAGTGGCGGGCAAAGGCCCGGGGGTGAAGAGGGGCCCGGTCACGGCGCAGAGGGACCTCCAAGAGGGACACCCGGCCGAGGTTCACGCCCCTCGGTGTCCCCGCGCCCCGGGCACCGCCCACTCACTGGAGCAGGCAGGCAACCTGGGGTTCGGAGTTCGGGCCCCAGGGTATGGACAGTAGTGGGGAGCCTGCTCCCCCGCCCCAGTACCTGCGCGCACCGGAGGGACTGCAACTCTAGCCCAGCCGGCGCGCGGCGATGACGTATGGCCGAGTGCGCCGCGCGCCAGCGACGTCTAAGGCGAATGGCGACGGTAGCAGCTGCCCTGGAACCCTGGCAGGCGGCAGCTCCAAGGAAAAGGCGTTCGGCTACGCGGCGACCGGCGCGGCGAGAGGCCGCAGCCCGGGGCCCGGAGGTGGACTCCGAGGCAGACAGTGCAACCGTACTGCGTCGCATCCGGGAGGCCGGGTGAGTGTGGGGTCGGCCCTTGACTGGAATCCTGATGCCTGTCGGAGCCTCTCTGAGCCTCAGTCTCCCCATCTGTAAAATGGGGAGAACTGCAAACCTTTCAAGAAGTTATTGTTAGGATTTAACGGACACAGTGAGCTCATTACAGGTCTAGATTATAGTAAGCGCTCAGTAAAGGTTGTTATCCCTTTTATTCCGATTACAGCTGCCTGACCTCGGGCAAGTTACGTAATCTCTATATGCCTCAGTTTTCTCATGTGTGAAATGGGGATGAAAATAGTATCTACATAGGCATATTTTGAGGATTCATTGAATTAGTAAATGTTTGCTGTTAATATTATGCCAATTTTGGTTATTATTGGTATTGTTGACATGAGAGAAGCAGAAGCAGCACATCATTGTCATCTTCATTATTATTATTATTAATTTACTGAGCAGCTGCTATGTGCTTGGCACTGGATTAAGCATTTTACACACTTTATCAATTTTGAACATTGCAGTCACCCTAGGGAGATAGAGAACCGGGTCTCAAAGAAGATGTGGAACCAGATTTCAACCTCAGATCTTTGTGACTCCAAAACCTGTGTTTCAAGCTTTCCATTATTCTGGACACTTATCCCTCCATGGCACAAATGGTTACGTGCTCAACTACTAGCTGAAAGGTTGGCAGTTTGAACCCACCCTGAGTACCTCAGAAGACAGGCCAGGCGATCTGCTTCCAGAACCCTACGGAGCAGTTCTACTCTGTACACACGGGGTCACCACGGGTCTGAATCTACACCATGCAGATAACAACAATATCCCTCCCCACTCCCCTTCACCTTGCTCAGTATCTTAGAAAGCACTTAAAACAGTGCCTAAACAGAGGAAGCACTGTGCCGATTTGATGGCAGCTAACCACAACAACTATTGTTAGTTGGAGTCTCTGGGTGGTGAAACAGTTAATATGCTCGGTTGCTAACTGAAAGGTTGGAAGTTCCAGTCCACCCAGAGGTGCCTTGGAAGAAAGGCCTGGCGATCTACTTCCAAAAAAATCAGCCAATGAAAACCCTATGGAGCACAGTTCTACTCTTGACAACACATGGGGTCACCATGAGTCTAGCTGACTCGACAGCAACTGGTTACTGTTATTTAGTATTATTATCTTTATCTGCAGTACTGTAAGGCTCAATAAATAACAGCTTTTGTTAGCACTTCTTCATGACATCTGAAGGACTATCACAAGGGCGAGAAGTTAGACTCATTTTGTGTGTCCCCTCTCTTAGAGGGGCAAGGTAGAATTAGAGCCAAGAGGCATTGGTGACCTGGAAATTACCACTGAATAGAAGGAAGTTGCTGACCAGCTGGCAGAGCCTGTGACAAAAGCAGCAGACGTCCCCCTTACCACTTAGGGCTTTTATCCCTTTGAAACAGGTAGCATTAAGCTAAACTTCTCTACTTGGTAGGCTTCCTGGTTATGAGATTAGGTGAGAGAGATTCTGAATACAGCTTTTTCTGAAGCACAGACTCCATTCACCTGGCAGGTTGAGGTGGGGGAGGGATTCCCACTGCCCTGTTCTCATGTGCACGCACTTGGTCAGGTTTACAGAGCACTTGGAATTTTCCTTTCCCTCTGTGAGGAATGTAGGGGGAGCTCTGGGCAGATCTTTCCTTTCTCTCACTCTCTGAGCCCCCCGAACACCATGTCCGGCTTATGGCTTATGAGTTAAAATCCAGCTGTAAATCTTTACAGAAACAGACTGCCACATCTTTCTCCCGAGGAGCGGGCTGGTAGGTTCGAACTGCCCGCTTTCCAGTTAGCAGCTGAGTGCTTTAACTACTGTGCCACCAGAGCTCCTAATTCACTGTTGGTTTTGTTTCGCTCTGGATTTGTGGAAACCAGTTGACTTGAATAAACAAAACCTAGACACTTGCTTTTGTCCCTTCTTTTACTTTCACGTTAGAATTATTTATAATAATTGCTGTTTACTGTGTATTTACTGTATCCAAAGCACTGTGCTAAGTGTGTTAACTCATTTAATCCCCCCCCCCGTATCCTGTGATAAGTCCAATTCTTATTCCTATTTTAGAGATGAGGAAATTAAAACTCAGAAAGGCCAAATCCACATTTTAACAACTATGTATGGAGCCGTTCCTCTGTGCCAAGCTCTGTTGTGGACCAAGGATACAGCTGTAAACAGAACAGACCAAGGCCCGGCCCCCATAGAGGTCACTATCTAGACCCATCCCTGGGAATCAGGGGCCTCCTCCAGGAACCTGTCTCTCGTGCCCTCTTTGAGCACCAGCAGCATGTGCTCCAGCCCTGGATATCTTTGCCATGTATCCTCCTCCTCCCATCAATGGGTGAAGGTGGGCTCTGTGTCTGAGGACTCCTCATCCTCATTACATCCAGTTCATGGTGTGGGTGCAAGTCATTGTTATGACAGCTGCAAAAATATGGGCACTGATCGCACCGTTTTCTCAGCAGGGAGGACCTACTTCTCTCTGATTTCTGGAGTTCAGCACTAGGTGAGGACCACCAGGTCGAGGGTGGGGGTGGCAGGAGTGGGAGGAGGGAGGGTCTGCATGTGGGCAGAGAAAGGAATCCAGTCGTCGTGTGTGGACAGTTTGCTTCACACAGCAGTGTGCCCGCTGGGTTCTGATTCTGACTTCCCCCTTATGGCTGTATGTCTTTTGGCACTTAATTAACTCTGACGCTCAGTTTCTTTATCTATGAAATGAGGATGATAATGTACATATTCCCTAGAGTAGTTTTGAGAATTAAATGGGGCAGTTTAGTTAAGCGCCTAGAACAGTTCTTGCCTGCTGCACAGGAGACAATAAACGTTAGCTGTCGTTATCGTTACTGTAATTTAGGTTTATCCTGATCTTTCTCCTTGACGTGACAGTGTAGACTTCTCCCCCCATGCGGGTGTAATTTCTTCCTCAACATAACAGGTGGCAACATAATGCATGGAGTGAACATGCTGTAGTTATAATTTTTATTAAGGGACATAGCTTGTTTCCTTTTTTTACTTGTTTCTTAGTTATTATTATACGTAACTTTGCAATGAGTATCTTTGTGCAGAAAGCTTTCCCCAAATGTAGGATGATTTTCTAGGATATATTCACAGAAGTGGAATAGTCAAAGGCAGCGACCAACTTGATATCCATTGTCAAGTTGTTTTCTAAAAAACTTTTACCAATTTATTTACCTACCAGCAAGGACTAAATGAGCCAGTTTTTCATGCCACCTTTCCTAGCTTTGTTTTAAAATATCTTTGCTAATTTGATAGGTGAAAATTGGTATCTTATTGTTGGAATGTGTGTGGCTTTTTGTGTTTTATTTGAGGGGGCTGTATACATATTTGTTCAACAGAATTTGGTACTAATATAATAAAAGGAGGGATGAGAGAACTCACCTGTATATGAGAAAATTTAAATAGGATAGTATATTCTATTAGGCTCTTGAAGACTCTAGCCTACTTTTTCTTCTTTGGAGTCATTGCACATTAAATTTTGCTATTCCCAGCCATTTATAATGTGAGTTGAGAGCTATGTTCCTCCATTCGTTATTTAAAAAAAAAAGTAGGTCATTCAGAACACAGCCTGCACTTAAATGGAAACTGTGCCCATGAATGAAACCTATTTTTTCCCTGAAAAAATTATCCTAGGTTGTAAGTCGTGGGAGTCGTGAGGAGGCAATGGCCTTTCAGTTTTTGAAGGACGTGGCCGTGTGTCCTAGGCATGCTCAGGATTGAGGCAGGTCGCTCTTCTCGCTGAGTTGCCAGAGCCTCCCCTGTCCTGCTCCCTTTCTCCCTGGGCCTGGGGATGTGTTTTGTGGGGGGGTTCACAGGGTCAGGGCACATCTTCTGACTGCACTCGGGGACGGCTCTTTCAGAAACCATCAACAGATGTCTCAGGAAACATCAGGAACTACTGAAGACACTGGTGGGGACTCTTCCGGAAGCCCTCGGAAACCTGCACCTTGACTCATCACCAGATGAGCCAGACGTGGCCCGTGACTGCACCCGGGGGGAGACGGGGGAGACCCTGGTCACGGGAGCCTGCCACTTGAAGTGCGTGTGTTATGGCATTGGGAACTTTGCCACCTGTGTCATAGCTAGAAACCAGCTAACGTTTTTGCTGCTCTTCCTGGAAAAGTGCCAGGTAAGCCTTTGGACCATCTTTATCGTCTCTCCCCTGTGCCTCTCACATGGTGGGCACACGCATGCTTGACTGAAATCCACGCATCATTCTTCCTTTCTCCTGCAGATTCCCAGAAGTCACTGCTGTGTGTATGACCCTCTGTTTAGCCAACTGGAGATTGCAGTTCTGAACACCCTAGGTGTGACTGTGCTCAGTGAGAACGAGGTAAGTGGTTTAGGGGAGGGTTGTGTAAATCCTGACCAAACTGACGTCAGACTCTGTCCTGTGACATCAGTTTCTATTGAAATGGTGGTCATTTCTATCCAGTACTTTCTTTCCCAGTGCCTGTAATAGGTGATCAATCAGTTATCCACATTTTAGCTTATGCTGTGCCCTGTCAGAAAAAAATACAGCTACGCAAATGGCATGAAATAGAACATGTCAGATTTGCAAAATTCTTGTGAGAAGTCTGCTTCAGAAATTATACTAAGTTGATATTTACTGCTGCTATTTAAAAACAGTCTGCTCCGAGATACGTATTTATGCAAAAGAATTGAAAACAGGGACTCAAACAGATAGCAGTACACCAGTGTTCACAGCAGCATTGTTTACAATAGCCAAGAAGGGGAAGCAACCCAGCTGCCCATCAACATATTGAGTGTATTAAAAAAATGTGGTCTATCCATGCAATGGAATATTACTCAGGCATAAAGAGAAATGAAGTTCTGATACATGCTTACAACGTGGGTGAAACCTGAAAACATTTATACTCACTGAAATAAGCCAGACACAAAAGGACAAATATTGTATGATCCCACTTACATGAAATATGTAGCATAGGCTAATTCATAGAGACAGAAAGTAGATTAATGGTTACCAGGGGCTGAGGGGAAGGAGAAATGGGGAGTTAATATTTAATGGTTACAGTTTCTGTCTGGGATGATGAAAAGGTGTTGGAAATAGATGGTGGTGACGGTTGCACAACATGGTGAATATAATTAATGGCACTGAAGCATACACTTAAAAATGGTTAAAATGGCAAATTTTATGTTATATATGTATTTTAGGAGCCCTGCTGGAGTAGTGGTTAAGAGCTTGGCAGTTAACCAAAGCGTTGGCAGTTTGAACCCACCAGCTGCTATTCTGAAGCCCTGTAGGGCAGATCTACTCTGTCTTATAGGGTTGCTATGACTTGGAATGATCTCAACTTTTTATATGTATTTTACCACAGTAAAATTTAAAAATAAAATAAAGAGGGCATGGAGTCTTGGTGCCTCATGAGGTCTTTCTGGTTGGATTTTACCCACACCAGGGCAGGTCATAAATAGGGGTCCGAACATCTCCCTTCTTGGAAGCAGTAGCCCAGTCACACCCATAGTACCTGGCTGTGAGTTATGAATAAATCCTCCACCCACTCTCGCACCCCTAAAAGAGTTGGGGTTCAAATTTTCAGAGACCTCTTAACAAAAGAAATTCATTACACAAGCTGAAGGCACATACTTCTGACTTGAGTTGTGCATTGGCCCGAGGATTATAGAATAATCATTGATTCCTGTGTGTGTCCTGTAATTGTCATCTTACTGCTTATTGTAAAACATGAAAATTAGGCACAGGTGAGAGAGGTCATCCCCAATGGTGGCAAGGTCCTAAAACACCATCACTCAACTCAAATACTCTTTTCTGGGTGACTGCTCTGTGCTAGGCCGGGAGCTTGAGGGAACCAAGATGAACAAGAGCCAGTCCCTGTCTTCAGGGAGCCCACGGTCACATCAGGGCACGTGGTCTGTAATCAGGTGAATAATAAATAGGACAGTGAAGTAGAACCAGATCATAGAACCATGACACAGAACCATGTACAAGTAATGGAGGCAGGCCAGGGCAAGGAGACCCGCTCTGTTTAGGGGCCACAGAGGAAGGTTTCCTGGAGTGTGAGCTGGGTTTGCAGGTCTACCAGGAGGAGCTGGCCAGATGAACAGGACCAGGATCGCAGGCAGCCTGTGCAGAGCCACGAAACAGAACTGAGTGGTCAAGAGACTAATGCCACGCGGCCAGGGAGGCTGCAGGCAGAGTGGAGAGGGAGCAGCCACAAAGGCACAGCAAAGGGCCTTATGTTGCCTACAGCCAAGCAAGTTTGGCTGTAGAGCAGCGGTTCTCAACCAGGGGTGATTGTGTCCCCAACAGGGAACATTTGGAGTGCACTCGTAACAGGGATCTGCAGAAAGTGGCACAGGAAGCGTGGAGGATTACTGGACAGTCCGTGGGGGACAGTAACTTGCTGCTCCTCCTGCCCTTGGTGTCACGGACCCCGAGAAGCCCCTTCGTTAGTCCAGAGCTTTGTGTTGACGGGACACAATTCGTTAAGTCAAAACCAGAGTTCTTTTGGGACATCATGGTTTCTTTTTCTCCCATAGAATTTTACAGATTTCATACACACTAGACTATTCCACAATGGAATAATATGACACTTCAGCTCATTATTAATCCACGTCCTTATCTCTACCTCACCTTGCTGTAAGAAGTTTAAGAATGTTGACATCTGCTTCTCTTGTGTCAGGAAGGAAAGCGGAGTATTTGTGGTGAGCCCACAGTCTTTTACATGCTCCATTGTGGGACAGCTTTGTACAACAATCTTTTATGGAGTAACTGGTCAGTAGATGCCCTTTCCAAAATGGTCATCATTGGAAACAGCTTCAGAGGACTTGAAGAAAGGTAAGCCTGTGACAGGCGGGATTCTTTTCAGCCTGAGGTAAAGCCCCTAGCTCAGGTTTGATCCACCTGAGCAGGAAACGCTTCCACTGCTCATCTGCACTTGGGAAATGCTTTTCATAGGGAACTGAACAAAAGGTCAAGGACAGGCAGTCAGAACCTTGAGTCAAGATAGGAAGCAAGGAGTCTTTCTGTCAGCAGTTGTCCCCTCCCTTATCATGGACAGAATGCTTTTTTAGAAATGGTAAAAGCCATTTGATGTTTCTGCTGACAGCTATACACTGTCGTTCTGTTTCCCAGTGCTTCCATGTCTGCTCTGTCCTTTCTCTTGAATGCATGAAATTGGTGTGGTTACTGGGGTATTGACATTTTCTACTAAATATCTAAACCTACCCCATGCCCCAAACATTTTTCTGAGTTCTTAAATCATCTTGTCTGGCTGTCTTAAGTTTAATAAAACCACCCTCATACCTCCTAATAGTGGTTTCTTTTTATTTCTAGGTTGTTGACAAGGATTCTGCAGAAAAATTATCCCTACATTGCAAAGGTATCTATCTGGACCAAGAAGGTGGGACAGAAACAGGTGTAAAAATAAATAATATTTATTATTTATTCTTACTGTGAAGAATTCCACCTTTACATCTGTAGGAGGAAACTAGGGGCTAACCGAAGACAGAGTACTGTATTGTCCGTGAGCTCTTTCTTCATCCTTTCAGAAAGCTAAGACATTTTAGTGCATCTCAATTTTTTTCTAATTTCCTTTATTCTTGGTATAACAGTCTAACATGTCCACTGCTTTGGGGCTTCCAATCCATTACACAAGAGCATTTAAATCAAAATATCCTATTGCTTATATTTTAAAAAAGAGAACATGGGGGTGAAAACTAATAGAAGTATAACCCAAAAGAGTGGGGGTTACTGTGCTTATCAGGCTTTCACCTTTTACATTTGAATTTTTCTGCTCAGATTTTCAAAGGCCTGGAGGAGCTTGAATTTCCTCAGACCCCACAGTACACAGACATATTTAATGACACCTCCGTCCACTGGTTCCCTGCACAAAAGTTAAAACAACTCTCTGCGGATACGTGGGTGTTCCGGGAAGAACCAGATTATCAGGACTGCGAGGACCTTGAAATCATCAGGAAGAAGACAGAAGACCCTTCAGCTGGTGACTCGAGCTCATTATAATGTATTCCATGTTGGCTGAGGGAAAGTCTGCCACCAGAGATGAAAGGGAAGGCTGTGGGGGAGGAATACAGACAACTCCAGTGGGCCAGATTTTAGAAATAAGAACAGGAAATACATCAACTTGGCTGTCCTGCTTGGCAGATAAGCACGTAAGGAACTGGTGTAAAGATTGATGCACTTCTGTAAATAAAGTAGCTTAATCATGTTCTCTATCTTTTCTGGGTGACCCTGCCTGACAGGGAGTTATCTCCTGAACAGACAGAAGTTGCCCTTTGGAAGAATCATTTAAATAATACTTTTATTCACAGGAAACGTTTTTGAATGCCCTCCGAGGTCCCAGTCTCGGGCCTGCTCCGGCCCTGCGGCCGTCTATTTGGCCATGTCAATCAGGCTCTGCAAGGAGGTGGGCACCCAGGTCTTCTCCCCCTGGACAAACACCACTCCCCGGTCAATGTAGATCACGATGCGGCCGAAGGTGTACAGCTGCTTCCCCTCGTGCCGCTTCCCAATGACGGGCATAAAAACGATGTTGTGCTCCTCAGCCTTGGTCTGGATGAGGTCCTTGAAGTTCATGGGCACTGAGCTGGCAGCCACACCGATGCCCCTCTGGGCCATGTTCTCGGCTTCCCGCCGCTCCTGCATGGCCTCATACTGGAAGTCCTTCCTCCGCTCCGTGTGGGTGAGGTAGGCGATGTTCTCCCGCGCTCCGGGCTGCATGTAGGCACCTGAGATACAGAAGGGCAGGGAGTGAGGTGTTTCTAAGATTTATGTAAATGGAGACATGATTTGGCCTGAGTCTGGGTGTGCCAGAGGTGCCGTCTCTATGAAAGGCAGGCAGCTCTGCCTCAAAGACACAAAGCACCAAAAGAAGATGATCAAGTGCCTTTGAGGAAAGTTTAGACAACTATGGTTGACATCACATAAAAATTGGTCTGATGAGATTTTAATACCTAGCAACCAGAGAAATTATTAAACAGTCATTATAAAATATCTGCAAGGAATTTACCATTTCAGAGCTGGACGCCTTGACAGCCAATTGCTAGTCACTGTGCCATGCCTACCTTGTTTGGTAGAGTCTGCACTCCACACTGCCAAAGCTTTGAGAACCTTGAAGAACACATGGTCTACGCTAGTTACACTGAACCTGGTACATGCCCTCCACCATGGAGGAATTTAAAGTGCACTTGGGGAGCCAAAACATGTATGTGTAAGGGTAACACAGGACCACAAATGTCAAGGGCTGAGGGGTAGGGTACAGTGCTGGAAGCATGGGGCCTGGGGTGGCTAAGGAAGTTTCCAGAGAATGTGAAATGAAGATAGGACTTAAATAAGTAGAGAGAAGCACAGAAGTATGTCTGCCTCATTAAACACAGTATATAAATATATAAATTGCTTCCATATAATAGGCTAAGTAGAAAAACTCAGAAAATATGGATTCCAGTCCCAACTGCCACCTTAGCTGTGTGACCCTGAACACGCTATTGGCGTCACTGAGCTTATCTGTGAAATGGAGTGGGACCATGTGATTGTGTTTCAAATGCTATGAATCACTTACTTAGCCTCAGGTGTCAGCACACTGTAATACAGGATGGGCTGAAACAGGCTCCCCAAGGGAAAAACACAAGCGTACGTTCATTTACTTATGATCCCGGCAGAATGGAACTACACAGCTATGGGAAGAGATCCACACAGGAACAGCTGACTACCAACTTAGGACACTATTTCCAAAGACACCAGTTACTAAGTGCTGTGTGCAGAGTGTTTTACAAACATTAACTCACTTGATCCCCCTTGTAACCGAGGAAGTAGGTATCATTACTGTTTTACAGGTAAAGAAATGGGGCTAAGTGTTAAAGTCTGGACTGGAACTCAACACTGTCAACCTCAACCCCAAGCTGTTGTGCTTGAGCAGCACACTGGATGCCGGCCAAGCAGATGCACACAGGGGCCCTACAAGGCCACACAGCACAGTGGGACAAAGGTGGGCATGGAGCTGGGCCGACGGTTAAATCCAGGTGTAAGTCAGCTACATTCAGGGAAAAACGTCCCTCCCAATAACAGTAGGTCTTGACAGCGGGTGTTAGCTAACCGTGTAACTGAATATGGTGAAGAAGAATCAGCAGTGTCTGTGGGGCTTCACCATATGTTAAGCTCTGGTTTAAGTAGTCTACAGGTGTTTGGAAACTCAGATTCTGTGTCATTTACATACTCAGAAACATGGAACCCAGTGCCAAACCAAAAAAAAACCCAACAAACCCACTGCCCGTGAGTCAATTCCGACTCATAGTGACCCTATAGGACCGGGTAGTACTGCTCAATAGGGTTTCTAAGGCTGAAATCTCTATGGAAGGAGACTCCAACATCTTTCTCCTGTGGAGTGGCCGGTGGGTTGGAACCTCCAACCTTTTCAGTTAGTAGCCGAGAGCTTCACCACAGCGCCACCAGGGCCCCTTAACCCAGTGCCAGGATATGCAAAAATGGGAATCCCCACTCACCAACGTTGGAGGACACAGCCCTGTTCATGATATCAAGTGCTTCGTTAAATTTGTCCTTGACGGATGGGTGGGCCAGGACTTGGTCTGAGAACATGGATTTCCAGCCCAGGTACCACTTGGTGATCTCCTCGTAATTGGGGCTGTTACTGAGCCAGGAGCACAGCACCTGCCCCAAAAGACAAAACAAGAAACACTCGCACCCACAGTGGCAACAACTGGGAGCAGAATTCCAAAGGGAGCGTTTGTTTTTGATCCTGCTCCTACAAGCTGCTGACGTTACTTACAGGGACTTACAATTCCTTAAGTCTGGCACTTAAGAGTATGGATTCTGGAGTCAGTCTGGTAGCTCTGTGAGCTTGCACATAAACTCTGAGCCTCAGTCTTCACGTCTATACAATGGGGATACTATAGTCCTGACCCTAGAGGGCCACTGTGAGGAGTCAACGGGATACCACAAATAAATCTTACAACAGCACCTGGCACATGGCAACTGTTCAATCAGTGGTGGCCACTAAACTCACCCCTCCCCTGAAGCGTGTAATTTATTCTCATTCTGTAATTACAGCACTATCATCTGACAGCTATCCAAGGCCTGAACACCTGCAGTCATGCCTGGGCAGAAAATTCATGACTCCCCTCCCCAGCCCCAGCGTACCTGAAGCCACTTGGGGAAGAAGTGCTTTTCGAGAAGCCCCACTAGGCTGGAGACAGAGATCATCCCCTCCCAGTCGATCACCCAGTAAAAGGCATCCATGTGCTGCTGGTGGGGGTTAATGACGAGCTCCCCAAGGCACATCCCTGGAAGAGAAGCCCAGTCTCTGAGGCTCCACTCTCATCCCACCCAAACCACAGATGCAGAAAGAGCACACCATCACCACGTGTCAGCCTCTGATCTGCTTTTAAAGGTCCATTTTAAGCTCCTGACATAGCAATTCTTAAAGATCAAAATATTTCTAACCCAGAAATAACTCCTTTTCTTAAATTAAGAAAATATATATATCTGGAATAAAATACCACCAAATTTTGAGACCACCCCTGGATATCCTAGTACCAGAGGCCAAAACCAGACCAGTCAGGAAAAAGCAGCGAGGCATGCTGAGTCTGACATTGTCACTAGAGGCGTCTAGTCACTGCTGTAACTAAACAGAAGTAAGGATTTGCTAGTTACATTTCCATTCAGGGCACAAAACAGCACCTTTTATACAGTGAGAAATACCGTGCGCTAAGTTTTTTCACAAAACTCAAAGGTCATGTTTCAAGAAGCAAAGTCACTATGGCGGGCCGCCGAAACCACGGCACCAAAGCCACTGGACTTGAAACGCGTTTTCCCCTTTCCTTACCCAGCTTGGGCACAATGTTCTTGACCATGAACGCTTCCCAGGAGCCAGGGGTGAAAACATCCTTCCAAGGCTGGAGGATGAGCTTGGCGGAGGAGTCGCTGGGGTGCCACTTCTGCAGGGCGCTGGACAGCTTGCTGCGGATGGGAGAGTAGAGTGGCTCCAGACGCGCCTGCATGAGCGGGAGCCACGGGTGGATCCATGAGTGGATGGGGACAGTGTCTGTCAGCGGGTTCCAGTTTTCCACCTGTGGAGGGGATGGGGAGAAAGAGTTAACCCAGCCTGTCAAAGAACCACGGTGCAGTTAATAACAAGTGCTGTCCTTGGGGAAGGAGGCCACATGCTCTTCTGGCCAAAGTCCACAGTCCTTTGCACGTGTGTGGAGAACCACTGTCCCCTTTTTATGAAGGGGAAAGCTAGGTACAAAGAAAGCAGAGAAGACCGCTTTGTAGGCATTTTACACAACATTTTCCCCAAAACAGAGACAATGACCCACAAACAAATACACCCACGCAATTGTACTAAATCTCAGAAATGGCATCATTCTAATTTTATTAAATCAAGAAGATGAAGTACCTCTGGAGGGGGGATTTTGGGAAAGTACTGAGAAGAAGGGGAAAGCTAGGTACAAAGAAGCAGAGAAGACCGCTTTGTAGGCATTTTACACATCTTCCCCAAAACAGAGACAATGACCCACAAACAAATACACCCACGCAATTGTACTAAATCTCAGAAATGGCACCATTCTAATTTTATTAAATCAAGAAGATGAAGTACCTCTGGAGGGGGGATTTTGGGAAAGTACTGAGAAAAAGGCCTGAGTTAACATCATAGGGCAATAGTTACTCTGCTTACAAATGCTGTTAATTCCGGGCATCTGAACAGCCCTCAGATAATGACCAGAACTGCTAAACAAGTTCCCGTGATTACTGAGGACAACCGTTTCCCTAACTCGCCCCACCTCTTTCTGCAGCTTGGGGAAGATGAGCTGGTCCAGGATGTTGTCTGAAATCCACATAGGGATGATGCGCACCCAGCTGTCCAGGAAGTCCACCATCGGGTCACAGTTCCTTGGTTGCCACTGGGTGACAATATTTCGGACAAATGGCATCCAGACTTCCCATATCAGCCTACGGGAAAAAGGCAGAGGAAAGACTGGTTAATTGTTCTGAATGGTTTCAGAGTATACTCACCACCCATCTCTCTAGAATAAGAAATAAGATAGCTAACTGCAAGGAAATCAAATCACAGAAAACCAGCAGGCCGGTCCCTATGTCAGCCAGACCCAAGCCTGCCTCTCCCTTGCTCTCTGGGCCACTCACTCAACTTCTGGGGCCTTGGTCTCCTGCTCTAGTGGCCTGGCAGACTGCTCCAGGTGTATACAAGCTCACGGCCCAACACAAGGACCTCCTCTTGGAACTGCCCCACGTATCACGCACGCTCCCACCCTGGCCCTCACAAGGTTCTTCTGGACACAAGGCCTATGCCCAGCAGTCCCTCTCGCCCTTTGGGTCACAGCTTAAATGTCACCTCCTGACACCTCTGCCCCAACCCTCGTTCAGGAAGGTGTGTGCCCTTGTTATACTCTACCACTGCACCCAGTCTGCACCTTGTGTTTATCTGTTCAGGTCCTTCTCTGCCATCTGCCGTGTTCACTGTACTACATGGGTCTGCCGCCTGCACTTAGCATTACATGACCCTCAACAGATGCTTGACAAGCACTGGTTAAATGAACACACACGTTAATTTAAGTTCCTAGAGCAGTACCAGTATAGAGCAGAGGATTAAAATCTGGTTCCTCCCGCCTCCCCCAGCCATTAGCCATCCTACCCCAGCCCGAGGAGACGGCGCAGGCAAGCAGGGCCCGCCCCGCCCTAAGTACCTGTGAAAGGCGTCCGCCGAGAGGTCCTGCCCACCGTGAGACAAGAGGTGGTCATTCTCCAGGAGGCTCTTCCACTTGGAAATGATTTCAGTGCCATACGTGCAGTCCTGAAGACAAATGCACACAGCTGATGTGGCTGCCAGGTGAACTAGCCCACCCTGGCCTCAGGACAAGCTCACCAAACAAGGGCCCGCCCCAAACAGGAGACACCATTTTCCCAACGACTCACTTTGAGGGGGTCCCACTCCTTGAAGTACTCCTTCATGAGCGGGTAGACGATGGCCACGGCAAGGTCCACCCGGTCGGACATCCTGTACTCCTCGTAATACTTGTCCTGCAGGGTCTCAAAGACGCGGGCGCACTCGTCCAGCGTGAGGGGGTTGCTGCAGTTGGGCTGCATCCGCCGCTCACACTCCTCCACCATCTCCAGGACCTTGCTGAGGTTGGAGATGACCCTCTCCTCGTGGTCCAGCACCTCAGACATCTTCTCCAGCTCGTGTGACAGGTTGACCACCATGTCCCGCTCATACTGCAGCTGCCGGTCACTCTGGATGATCTCCTGCTCCGTGAGGTCGATAAGCAGCTGCAGGTTGTGCTCCAGCTCGGGCAGTGCAAAGCCTGGGGCCTTGGCCTCTTTGCCAGGCAGTGGCAGCTGCTGCGACTGCAGTGGCAGCCCGTCGTCGGGGACGTTGTGCTTGTGGCTGATCTGGCTGTAGCTGTAGTAGACCTTCTGCTCACGGCCTGTCATGTCTATGACCTTGGAGAACGCGGCAGAGGGGATGCACATTAACACTCACCATTGCTACTCTGTTACACAGACGCCTACACCTGGGGGAAGGCACTGTGCCAGTGGAAATATGTAAACCCACACTATTCAGCAGAGCCAAAGCAGGGCGGTGTCTCTAAGTGGGATCCTTGCAGTACTAGATTAAAGGAGACTCAGGGGACAAAGCAATCAGCTCCAATGAGCAGTTCACGGTTGGGTTCCATTTGACAAACCAGAATAAGACTTTTTAGGAAAACTGAGGGTATCTGAATATGGACAGCACTTCTGAAACAGAACTGTCATCACTTTAAATAAAAGTGTGATCCGTGAACCACCAGCATTAGAATCACCAGGGAAAAGATAAGAGATGCAGAGTCCTTGGTCCCAGTACAGAGCTATCACTGCAAAATCTCCCCGTTGTGACCTGAGCATCTGCATTTCTTGCCAGGTTCCCCAGATAACTGTGATGCACACTTGAGAACTGCCACTTAAAGCTCTCTTTGAGTTCTACAGTCCCCCCACACTATACATATATCCCATACCAAACAACAACAAAAAACTCACCATTATTCTCTGGCTCCTGAGAAGAGTAATGGAAAACCTAATACTCTATGCAAATAAAAGTGGCTAAAAATTGACTCCATTTTTTTTTTAAAAAAAAAAGAGTATATTCAAGGCTGGTGAAGAGGCCCTGAGGACTCTCTCATGCTTGCTGTCAGAGAACGAGAATACCACCTTCCCAGAAAGCAATTTGGTAATAAGTATTCTGAGTCTTAAATACTATTATATCCTGGTGGTGGTACTTGTAGGAATCTATCCTAAAGAAATATTCGAAAGACCAAGCTTTACGCACAACTAGCCTGCCAAAAACCAAACTGAAACAGAGAGAAAGTAAAGGTCTAGCAACAGAGGTCGGATCAAGTACACAGCACAGCCGCTCCCTGCAATTATGAGCTCATTAAACATGGTGTTCACACTGTGTTTCTAATAACGGAAACGTGATGGGAATTCTACTGACTGAGCACCATACAGACAGGAACACCGTTTTGTTTACCACCATCTCCCTGTTGCCTTGAAAAGTGCCTGGTACAGACTAGGAACTCAGAACTATTACTAGATGTGGGAGTGCAGTGAATGGGAACATGCTGATGTCAAGTGAGGAAATCAAGCCAAGATCAAAGGCCTAAAGGACCTCAGAAAATGTCCAGTGATTATATCTGGGGTGTGGGATTGCTTTTGTGTCTTCCAAACACCCTCTCCTGGGCCAGGTGTCCAAGGGCGCCCGTACCTTGACCTGAGAAAGCTCCTTCTGGGGAGCGGTGAGCTTCTTGCTGATCCTGCCCTTGGCCTTCAACTCTTCCACTGTCTTGTAAGAGTACTTGGGCTTCTTCTTGCTTCCACTGGGGTCTTTCCTCCACTGGCTCAGCTCCTTCTGGAACTCCTGAACCAGAGGGATGCAGTCAATTGAAATAAAAAAGGACCATTTTTCACAGCTGCTGGGGCCACTGAGACCATTAACAGACATTCACCAGCCACTTATCATCTACACCAGATTCTATGCTAAGCATCGTGCCTTGCTGTTATTACTGGGTGCTGTAGAGTCAATTTTCAATTCATAGTGACCCCATGTGACAGAGCAGAACTGCCCCATAGGGTTTTCTAGGCTGTAATCTTTATGGGAGCAGATCACCAAGGCTTTCTCCTGCAGAGGCGCTGGGTGGGTTCCAACAGCCAACTTTTCAGTTAGCAGCCAAGCACTTAACCCACGCTAAAACCCTCTAATGATATTCCTTTCCCTGCCGCTCTTCACAAACAAATGCAGTCTAGGCAGGTATACCACACTGGAGGGAGAAACAAAAGGGTGAAGGCAACATTTACTGAACGTCTACTATGGGAAGACGGTAGCTAGTTTTAAATGTACCTCATGTAAAACCTAGAAATGCAAGATAAAGGATTTTTAAAAATCCATACAAAACACTGGCTTTAATTTAAAAATGAAGGTAAACTGCCAAACCCCAAAGTCTGAAGGCAAAGACATCTTTTACCCTTGGGGTTTGCAACAATTTCTGCAGGAGGATCTAAAGCAAAGGAGGAAACTGCTGGACTGAGGGTAGTAGAATCCAGCCCATAAAAGTGAATTTTGTGGTAGTGTTTTGCTTTTCTCACACTGGTTTAAAACTTGGCAATTTTTCTCAAAAGAAAACAAAAAAATCTGGGCTTCTGGTTACTTTGGGAAAATCAGAAGATCAGGCAATACTGAGGCCACATTCTCATATGGCAATAATCGCCTGAAGCTGAGTGGAGGATACTCCTTTAGACAGGCCATATCCTCATGTGTCTGCCTCAGTCCCCACCACTCCCTGTTGTCTCACACCTGGCTCAGCTTCCTCCCTTGACTTCTACTGCATGCCTGCATTGGTGGCTTCTCAAGTCTGAGAACCCTGATTCAACGAGTAGTCAATCGCACATTATCAAATATCTCCTTCTCATTAAGAGGAGACAATCAGTGACAAGAAAAATAAGAACATGTGCCTTTGCAGCATCCAGCTCTCCTTCGTAAATGCAAAGGAGAAAGAGTCATCTTTGAATCAAGGCAGCTGGTTCCATTTTATCGCTGGAGCAAAGTGACACACAGCTGCCAGCAGATGGCTCCCCGCTGCACTTGGGATGAAATCCTAGCACCAAAAAAAGGCCTCCAAGGCCTGCGGTGGGCCCCGCCCTCCTCTCTGAGCCACTTCCTTCCCCTTCCCACTCTATGCACTACCTTCCTGCCACAATGGCCTCTTTTACAGTCTCTTAACCATCAAGCTCAGAGCTGCCCACTCAGTGTTCCCCAGCCTCTCAACTCTCCCTGTAGCTGGCTCTTTCTCTACTGCCTATTTCAACTGACATATTTCCCTCCCTAAGAGATCTTCCCTGACCACCCATTTAATTAAAAAAGCAGGTGACCACCCCTCCCCCCAAGACTTATTTCCTATCTTCGCACTTGTTAGCCCTTATTGTCATTTCTAACCACACTGTATTTGCTCATCTGCTGTCTATCTCTGTCCACCAAGCTCCAGGCCTGTTCATCATGGCACACCCAGTCCCCAGCACAGTACCAGACAGACGGCAGGTGTGCAATAAACATCTGAAGAGTGCTGGAATGAATGAGGAAACCCTGGTGGCGTAGTGGTTAACAGCTATGGCTGCTAACGAAAAGGTCGGCAGTTCGAATCCAACAGGCAAGCCTTGGAAACCATACGGGGCAGTTCTACTCTGTCCTATAGGGTCACTGAGTCAGAATCCACTCAACAGCAACGGGTTTAGGTTTTTTTTTTTTTTTTTTGGAATAAAGGAACAAATGGATGAACAGCTAGCCATCTGAAATGCAGAGAACACCACCTTCCCTCTCAACATCTGGTTAGTTACCTCTTCAGCTTCCTCTTCTGAGTCAACCACGGGGAAGTCTTGCAGGGACTGAGTGGTGCGTTCTGAGCCGTAAGCCCCCACAGCTCCTTTTCCCTTTCTCTGTTTGGCTTCAATAGGGTTGATTATACCTGGCGAAGTTCACCAAAAGAAAAAGAGAGGGATGTCAGATCACAGCATTTCATGTATTTGAACAAGCTGCTCAGTGAAATCACACTTCCTTGCTCTTTAACAAAATAACACAGGACTCATGGGAAGAGGACTTTTCTCTGCCCACAGAACACTGTTCAAGTGCCATGTGACCGCAAACTTCTGAACTCGTGCTATCCCAGCACACAGCCTGCTGTCATTAGGCTATCTATTTCCTAAATATGGATTTCCATTTCCACCTGGACTCATTTTTTAATCGACAGGAAGAAAATGGGGTAATTCATTCATAAGTGGGAATTCCAGCATAGTAAATTTTATACTTGACTGGTTTGTAAGCCTCTAATACGGAAAGTACAGTAACTCAGATAGTATATTGATTCTGACTAAAGTGTTCTTAATAGATGTTGCAATTTAACGAGACTGAATCTATTTTACATAGTAGTTCCTATTTTCTACATCTAACTTATTTTATAGTATGTTTAGGCCTTGGCAAGAAATGTTGTGTTTTTCTTATTTTAAAAAAAACAACAAAAACCAAACATATTGCTGTTGAGTTGATCCCGACTCATAGCAACCCTACAGGACAGAGTAGAACTGCCCCATAGGGTTTCCAAGGAGTGGCTGGTGGATTCAAACTGCTGACCTTTTGGTTAGCAGCCGAGCTCTTAACCACTGCGCCACCAGGGCTCCTTTCATATAAAAGAGTTTACAAATAAGACCACAAAAATTCAGCGAAGATTACTCCCTACCCCACCACCACCCCTTTCCATTTAGTACTGCTGAAATCTCAAATAAGGACTGTCCCCTTATTTGCACTGCAGGTCATCATTTCTACACCCAAGTTCATGTATTTTTCATACAGCTGAAGTTTTTAACACATAACCTGGATTTAACTTTTAAAATTATCTAGGGACTAAGATTTGAATTATAGAGACTATTACTGATTACACCCAGCTGGTGACTGTGCACAGGAAATAGCTCAAGGAGAGGAAGAAAACTCCTGCAAGAATTCATCTGCTTTGTCTGAGTGGCTCTGGTATCAAGCAGATAAGAACGTCTGAGAGGCGCTGTGTCTCATCAGGGATGGAGGTGAGAAGAGGAGACAGTGCTACAGAGAAAAGACGGAGGGAACCAATGCAGGATGTGCTCAGCAATGTTTAGACTTTATAACTGCATGTCTCGAGCTATTCAAAAAGCTACACACAAGGTTTTCTTGATACCCTGAAGGACAAGTAACTGTTTTTGCAAAACTGAAACCCTTTTGAGTAGGGACTGCATACTCTAATGCCTCCACAGGTCCCAGGAAAGTTAATGTAAATGCGTAAAGTGGGTTAGGTGGAAGAACGACAGGGAGTGGTGGAGAAGGCCGCAAAGAGAAGAACATGTGCCCTTTCCAAGGGGGCTGCTATGATTCAACCAAACCAATTCCTGCCTGGCAAAATCTAGACTTTGATGTGAAATTGTCTGATTTTTAAATATTGGTAACTAATTCAATTTTCTTTTAGAAACGCTGCACAGGCCAATAAGAAGCCTGTCTTTTAGCACATCAGCTTACAGCTTGTTTTGATAAAGCAAGGTAGCTTAAGAGAGCAACCATCTTCTGCTGGCAGATCATGCTGCAGAGTTAAAGTACTTTTAAAAGGGAAAAGGCAGAGCAAAAGCAAGCCATTCCTCATTCCCCTCTTCTCTCCTCTGACTTGCACCCTCGTACAAAACTCCAGGGCAATAGTATGATACCTTGTGCATTCTTCCCGAGGCCCCTTCCAGGGACGTAGCCCATCTTCTGAAGAAGCTTCTGCCCAATCCCTTTTGTGTGTCTTTCCCAGCTGCCAAAGTCCATGAATGACTTTGTTCCTCCTGCAAAACCTTTCTGGCTGGGTTTAAAATTGCCTCCCTGAAAAGAACAAACGTCAAAGTTTAGCTGATGGAAAAAGAAGCAAAATCTAAGGAAGCTTAGCGGGCAGTCCCAGGGCATTATAAAAAGTGTCACACGGACCACAAATATCTGTGATGTGCGTTAGGTAAGGAAAGAGACTGCACTGCACACCTCAAAGACACCCACTGCTCCCACTGGGTTCCGGCTGAGCCCCCTCCCTGCTTCTAGGACGTACCAGGGCCAACAATGACCTTTCAAGGACATTACTAAGGTTACAATCCTGCAATAAAGACTATACCGTTTTTAACTTCTTTGGTCCAAAATCCTTAGGAAAATCATCCTGCTTCACAGGTTTCTCTTCGTCATCAGAATCCTCCAGCTCCGCCTCCTCGGCCGCCCCTTTCTTGAGCCCCGCACTGATGAAGCTGACTGGCGCAGAGTAGTCACGAGTCCTGTGGCGCAGACACAAAGCCCCCCGGGGCCCATAAAGACCTCTTCTGCAGCCAACCTTTTCTGGAAAATTTGCTCACTAGAGAATTTCTTAGACTACACCTCATGGAATCCATTTTAAGAGTCCGCATTTACTTAATATATCAAAATACCCAAAGAGCCCAGATCCTGTAATCCTTGCTTCCTATTCACTTAACATTTTACCTGATGTGTTTAATCCAAATCTAGGGCTGAAGAGTTATCAGTGTAAATGTAGAGCTGATTATAAATTCCAAATATGATGTGCTAATCCAGTTTTCCTCTTACACTTTTTAAATTAACTTACTTTTAAAAAGCATTTGTTTCAGATACTATTTCAAGTACAAAATCAAACAGGAGAAGAAAGGAATTCTGATAGATAAAAATTGTAAATAAAATCCACTGAAAGAGATTATATGAATGGAAAGTACATTAATGGCTATATTAATCAAACTGTCAGAAAAAGGCCCGTATCCCTTAAATTTATCTAAATAAAAAACTACACTAAAAATGCCTAAGAAAATAACTCCGTGAGATAGAAAGTATTGATTTTAATCCTGACTGCTCCAGTAACACATACAATAGGTCATTAACTTCAGTTCCCTTCTGCATAAACTGAAACCGATATATTTGTATTGTGTGGTTAAAAGAACAAGGGAAAAAGAGTCCAATGAAAAACCTGGGACTATTGCAAACCAGTGCAATCCTTTATGAAATGATCAACCTAGTAATAAAACATCCCACGGCAGCAACAGAAGGGAATTCAAGGAGTTTCTTTCTCAAAAGAGGCAGTATAACTGAGTGGCTGGTTAGAAGCCCAAACTCTATATATAGAGTCAGACCCAGATTCCAATTCTAGCTCAACCTTTGCCTAGCCACGTGACCTCTGGCCTCAGTTTCTTTATCTGTAAAATGGGGATGACAATAATGGTATCTTTCTCATAAGGTAAATGAAATGAGGGATGTAAAGTACCGAGAATAAGTATGCAACTTAATGTTGGCAGCTATGATTTTCTTATGATTAGGCAATTCTTGACCCCTGATCTGTTTATTATCCAATTTTGGATTTCCCTGCCGGATGGGAAGAAGTAGAACTGACCCCAACACTCCTTCTCCCCAGTCCCGTTCGTGAAAAAGGCACAATCTCAGTGGGACAGAGTCCACAGGCCACAGATGGGACAGGGCAAGATGAAGCCAAATCAGCCCCACACACAGGTCAAGTGCGCTGCAGCCCCTCACACATGGTCTCACGCTGTGTTTGGGGGTGGGGCGGGGGGGTAGACTTTGGGCCTGACTCCTCGTCTCCCTGCTCCCATCCCAGCCTGGGCTCCCTCTACCTCTGCAGAGCACTGCCATGGTCTCCTTCCGGAGCTCCTTCTTCCACTATACCTCCATGCCCACTGTGCACACCAGCAAAAGAGCCTTCTCCAAACTGCTCCACATCTTACTCTCTCCACCATGGCCTTCAGGCCCCTGAAGACTTGATCTCCAGCCTTCCATCCAACTATGTTCCCCCTCCCTCTCTCCGCCCTAGCCTGCAAAACCTTTTCGTTTCCTTGTGGATACCCTGCTGCCTCCCCTCTAAGGCCTTTGCATCCTCCTGCCTCTCCTTCCACCCCAGTTACCTTCTACTTTCATATCAGCTCAAGTGTCACTTCTCCACAGAGACCATCCCTGACCTCCCTGAATAGATCAAATACCCTAAAATGTGCTCTCCTTCAGGTCTGAAATCACAGTTACAGACTTCCAGCTTTTGTGCAAAGAACTGATTAATGCCTGTCTCCATCCACTATCTAAGAGTTCTAGGAAGGCAAGGAATGGTCTGTAATCCAATAAAAGTGTTATTGCTCAGTAAACACTGACTGAATGATTAAATCAGCAAAAGAGTAGCATTCTTGCCTGAAGAAGAAACTGGACCTCCCTAGCTAATGTTGTCATACCTAAAGAACTTCGTAAGGCCAAGAGAAAAATATACTTGGCGGGTGTCTACCCAGTACCCTCCATCCATGTCCCCTTCCCTGAAGTAGGAGGAGCCAGTCCCACGCAGACCAGTACCGTTTGCCTCCAAAGCTGGGTCGCTCTTCATCCGAGTCTCGCTCTGCCCATATCCCGTAGGTGGCCTCTTCCTTGGTCTGCCAGTGCCGCTGCCGGTTGGGGTTGAACTCATTCTGGAGATCCCAGTCGGTGATCTCAAAGTTCTCATGCTCATCCTCATCCTCATCCATGCGGCCTTCCCCGTCCCGGTACAAGTGGGACAGTGACATGGCCCGTCAGTAAAGGAAGGGACAAAAAGGGCACAGTCTATGAAAAGTCCTGGGGACAGCAACGGAAGGCTTCCTGTCAGTCCCTGCTCCCTTCAGAACTCCCACTAAACACAAAGTCAGTTAAAATCATTGTTACTATTCAATAAAGCACACAGTTAAAGACATATTTCAGAAAACAATCAGTACTACAACAGGTGAAACAAAAGATTAATTTCAACCATCTATGTGATTCTTAAAAAGTATGCATTTCTCTATCCTAGTCAATGTTGTAAGACTTCACCCACACATATACAAAAGCCACACAAAAACAACTAAGTAAATATGTTCTTCTATATATTATTGTCTCAGAAATTGGGTAGATATCTTCCTAAACCCCAGATTTTATTCTTATTTTTTCTATTACTGAGTAAGAGAAATTAGCAGTAGTAATTAGGCAGCAGTAATTATGAACACTACCATAACAGTCAGGCATATGTGGACTGGAATAGAGACTCTACCTCTTGGTGGCTCGGTGATGAGACTTGGTTGTCTCTGAAATAGGGATTAGCTACTACACCAACCTTAAAGAACGTAAGGTGGAATTCAATCAGATGGAGCTTAAAAATCTCTTAAAACAAAAAACCAAGTCAGCTGCTGCAGAGTCAACTCCAATTCATGACAACCCATGTGTGTCAGAGTAGAACTGTGCTCCACAGGGATTTTCAAGGGCTGATTTTTCAAAGGTTGACTTTCAAGGCACCTCTGGGTGGACTTGAACCACCAACCTTATGGTTAGCAGCCAAGTGCCTAACTTTCTGTGCCACCCAAGGACACCAAACGCACTCAACTCATAATAAATGCTCAAAGAAGAATAGCTGCTGCTGTAGTGATCACCCCAGTTAAGTTCATCATTGCTACCATTATTGGATTAGGGAATGAATCCAGTAAAGTGATTATGAAATCAATCAGGTGCTAAAATCACAGCCAGGGTTCAAATCTCAACTCCAACAGGTACTCAGTGTGTGAGTTAAATGCACAGAAAGTGTCAAGCATGGTGCACTACATAACAATACATTCAATGAGGGACAAGGATTGTGATTCTTCTCTACCAGTTGCTGACTACTTCCACAGGAAGTGTGTCAAACTCTGCTCAGCTCTGTCAGAAAATTCCTCCCTGCTTCTTCTACTCACTGCTCCCAGTGCAGCTGGTCCCAACCTCATCCAGCAACACACAGGCGGTAAATGTTCTCAGAGAAGATGTAGAGTCCCAGATACATGGGAAGAAATTATACTGCTGGCTCCTGGGGCACAGCCATGGTAATAAATCAGAGTAGCTACGAGTTACAGCGCCCTCAGTAGGTATGAAGTACTTGCTGGGCACTCCAGGTCGGTTATATAACGTAAGCATGCGGACACTTACACGAGGTAAGTACTACTAACGTTTTCATGCTTCAGATAACAAAAATGAGACTCGGAAGCTAAACAACATGCCCTAGGTTCCACGGCTAACAGAGCTCGAACCAGAGCTTGCGCTTCTCTTCACCCTGCTGTCCAATCTTCGCGGAGGAGGCCCGGGGTCTTGACCCGGCCCTGGCCTTGGCCCCAGCTCCCGGGTAACCCCGAGCGGACCCGCCCCTCTACAGGCCTCAGCAGCGCCGTCGGCGAAATGGGGTCCTACAACGCTGAGGCGAAGGCCGTCTTTCCCTCGCCCCCACTCCCAATGGCGCAGCTCCCTCTCATCGCATTTCCACTCCTCCGCCTAGCTCACCTCTCCGCCGTCCCGCGTACAGAAAACAGCCGTCTATTCGGCACTATGAACCCGCCACTCCTGGCGGCCGGAACCCGGAAGTATTTACGAAGGCGCGCCGGAAATGACGCGCGTGGCACTCATGTCGCGCTGCTGCCATGGCAACAGTGGAATGCTAGAGGTTCTTGGGTTCTAAAACCGTGGGGCTGAGATACAAGAAAGGTAACCGGGATTTGCAGGTCCCCGAGCGGACGTTTTTCCCGGCATGTCGGTCTCCCTGTCGTGCCCACTTTGTACCGCGACGCCCACCTATGATGACCCATGTGGGCATAGCCGAGCCACCTTGGCCAAAGGAAGCTTCTTTGCCAGCCTCAGATTCTAAATCTGTAAAATGGGGATATAGGACTAGCTCATAGGACAGTTGTGAGCATTAGTGTGATACAGTAAGGAGCCCGGTACATGGCCCTCAAATGGGAATAATGAAGACCACAACTGTGTGTCTTGTATCTTTGGGTCTTCAGTATAAGCACCATCGTGGGCACAGAATGGTTACCTTTTAGAGGAGTTTGACGGTGTACGGGAATAAGTGAGCAAACTAGAATTCCCAAGTGTTCTCTCCAGGAAATCGTTCCATTCTTGTCGTTTCAAACAGGTTGATAAATAATTTATTCAGTCACACATCTAATATAAATGTATTAAGTGCCTACTGATATAATGGGCCCAGCTAATACAGTGGGCTTAAGTGTGGGAAGCTGCTTCCTAGAGACCTGGAGCAAGTTGCTTCACTTCTCTGCACCTCAATTTCCCCATCTGTAAAATGGGGATAATGAAGGTGCTGCTCTAAAATGATTGTTTTCAGGACAAAAACGGACTAATTAATGCCTGTAAAGCTCTTAGCACAGTTCCTGGCATAGTAAAAAAACAACAACAACAAAAAAAACCAGTTGCCGTCGAGTGGATTCCGACTCATGGTGACCTCGTGTGTCAGAGTTGAACTGTGCTCCATAGGATTTGCAATGGCTGATTTTTTGGAAGCAGATTGTCAGGGCTTTCTTCTGAGGTGCTTCTGGGTGGACTTGAACCTCCAACCTTTTGGTTAGCAGCCAAGCTTTAACCATTTGCACCACCCAGGGACTCCCTGGCATAGCGAGAGCTTAGTAAATAGCTGTGGCTATTTTCATTTAAAAGACACAATCTCATACCCTTCTCAGCCTCAAAGATCCGTGGTGTTTCAGGAATTCTGGGCTAAAGTGACCAACCTCAGGATAATGAGAAAAGGCTCCCAGAAATTTGGATTCAGGCCCCTGAGTGACACCAGTCTTCGTCTCCTATCACTGCCCAGAAAAAGCATTACTTTGGGACTCAGTGACATCCAGGCCCGTGCCTAGATTGCCAATGAGGTGCTCAGAAGGTGGCCTTCCCAGAGGGGGTTGCCAAGCAACAAGGTTCTTTGGCAGCAGCCTGACAGGGTCCTCTGACACTAATTGGTCCATCCCTCTCCTTTTCACAGATGAGGCCATGAAGGCTTTCTTGAATTAAATTATGTCATTCTCCCCACTGCCAAATATGTGTTGGAATCCTAACCTCTATACCTGTGGAAATAATCCTATTTGGAAATACAGTTTTCTTTTTTATGTTAATTAGCTCATACCAGAGTGGGGTGGGTTCTAACTCTAATTACTTCTGATTTATAAAAAGAGCCAATTGGACACAGAGATACTCATGGCGGGGGGTGCTCTTTTAGCCTCCAGAATTGTAAGAAGATATATTTCTGATCTTCAAAGCTACCCACTTGTGGTATTTGTGTTATAACAACACTAGGAAACTTAGAGGTGCTGGTAGAGGGACATGCTGAGGGCCACACAGTAAGTTTAAGAACAGAGCCAGGCCTAGAACCCAGAAGTTCAGACTTCCAGGCCAGTGTTCTTCCTGGCATACCCTGCATAGGGCCATACCATGTCTGTCTACTCAGTTGAGCTGATATTTATAGAGTGATTCCAGTGTGTTCAGGGTTACACTGCCAAGCCCTCTGCATACATCATCTCTGCAATTCTTCAGACTTCAGAGATACTTCCTATTACCACCGCAGAGCCCACACTCCTAAACCACCACTTATATAGCCTCTGCCATACAGCACTGCTTCCATATTACCTCCAAAAGAAAAGGGAGGCGGGAAAATCCTTGCTCAGTTCCAACTTTAAAATAGGTTGGTACCATAGAAACAAACCATAAGTGGCATTTCAAAGCTGATATATTTAAAGTCTAGCACAAGAACTTTTTCTAGGACAGTGGCATTATACATTTTCACATACTTTATTCTTATTTTGAATTTTGTCCCAAAGATATAAATTCGGTCCTGAGCCTGGCAGAACTGAAAATCCGATCAGCTGATAATAGCAAATTTGATTTCCCTTTATATGTTCCTTACAGATGTTTTCTACCCTACTTATTTTTTAAAGACTTTGTGAAGACTCTCCTCCCATAGAAAACTGGGACATGAGGTACCAAAGGCCTGAGGCATTCTTTGTAAAACAACAACCTCAAACGCCACAGGCAAGGTGAGCAACCACAGCCTTCATTATTCATTCACTCATTCATTTAGTTACTCATTAACAAATATTTATTGATGACCAGTGTATTAGTTAGGTTCCCTGGGTGATGCAAACAGTTTGTGCTTGACTACTAATCTAAAGGTTGTTGGCTCAAACCCACCCAGCAGCACAGTGGAAGGCAGGCCGAGCAATCTGCTTCCATAAGAATTCAACCCATTGTTATCAAGTCAACTCCAACTCATAGCGACCCTATAGGACTGCTCCATTAGGCTTCCAAGGCTGTAATCTTTATGGAAGCAGACTGCCACATCTTTCTCCTGCAGAGCAGCTGGTGGGTTCGAGCTGCCAACCTTTTGGTTAGCAGCCAAGCACTTAACCACTGTGCCACCAGGACTCCTTCCATAAAATTAAAAAACAAAAACAAAACAAAACAAACCCATTGCTGCCGAGTTGATTCCAACTCATGGTGACCCTATAGGACAGAGTAGAACTGCTTTATTAGGTTTCCAAGGCTGCAGTCTTTATGGAAGCAGACGGCCACATCTTTCTTCCACGGAGTGGCTGGTGGATTTGAACTGCTGACCTTTTGGTTAGCAGCCAGACTCTTAACCACTGCACCACTGGGACCCCTCGGTAAAGATTACAGCCAAGAAAACCCTACAGAGCAGTTCTGTCGTAACACATGGGGTCACCATGAGTCGGAATCAACAGCTGCAGGTTTGGTTTTTTTTTATTTTAACGTATTAGTTATCTATTGCAGCACACCTCAGAGTTTAGCAGCTTAAAATAACAGTGAACATTATCTCAGTTTCTGTGGTAGGAGTTTGAGAATGGATTAGCTAGGTAGAGCAGGTTCAGGTCTCACGGAGTTGCAGTGAAGATGTTGGCCAGAGCTGTAGTCATCTGAAGGTTTGAGTGGAACTGGAAGATCCACTTCCGAGGTGTTTTCCTGACATAGCTGACAAGTTGGTGCTGGTTGTTGGCAGGAGGCCCCAGTTCCTTGCCATGTGAACCTCCCCCCATTGGGCTGGGTGAGCGTGCTCTTGGCGTGGTGGCTGGCTTCCCCCAATGTGAGTGAACCAAGGTGGAAGGCACAAGGTATTTCATGACCTAGCCTTGCAAGTCACACACTGTCATTTCCACAGTATCATATTGGTTACATGGTCAGTCCTATTCAGGGGTGCCAGATTTAGCAAATAAAAATACAGCATGCCTGGTTAAATCTGAATTTCAAATAAATACCAAATCATATTTTAGTGTAAGTATATCCCATGCCATATTGCAAAATTCTTTGAAAAAATTCACTGTTTCTCTGAAATTTAAATTTAACTGGACATCCTTTATTTAGTCTGGTAACATCAACCCTATTCAGCATGAAAAGGGACTACATACAAAAGTGCGTGAACATCAGGAGGTAAGGATCACTGGGGGCCATCTTGGAAGCTAGTTACCACAATGCATGACAGGAATATGCTAGGCAAGATGGACTATGGGGGCTAAATGAGTAATTAAGAATAATGATTCCTGCACTATTAACATCAACATGAATCAAATCAGTACACACAAAAAAAACTGCAAAACTTTGACTATGATGAAGAGCTTTGACGAGACGTAGCTGGTGTTGAGGGCAGGGATGGGGGCTTCATAAGGGCAGCCTCTTCATATGTCGTATAGATTGAGCTTCCACATAGGACTTTATTTGGGGAAGGATGTGTATGGAGGGTCTTGCTTCTAAAACAACAGGGAAACAAGAATCCTGAGATTCATTGGTCTGGAACCTTATCAAAATCCATAAACATACACAACACATACAAATGAATGCATGAAAAAAATGGTGAAAACCAAATAATGTCTGTAGTCTCGTTGACAGTACTGTACGAATGTCACTTTCCTGGTTTTGATGTTGAACTACAATTATGTCATCACTGGGGGAAGCTGGTGAAGGAGACACGGGACTCTTATGTACTATTTTTGCAACTACCTGTGGGTCTGTAACTATTTCAACATAAAAAGTAAAAAAAGAAAAAATTAAAAAATCACTAGTGGTGATAATGGGAACAAAATTGGATCAGAATAATCCAGACTTGGGAAATGGACTTACAATTGGAGTCTTAGGGTCACTTGGTCAAGAGTATGCCTTGATAGGTGGAACTAGGGCTTTCACACAAAGGAATGGTACTTCTTGTCATCAGTCATCCTGCAGAGTGTTCATTTAGAGGAGAGAATGAGGTGGACTTTGAGGTCAGAGGGGTAAGAGATGACCTCTGCCTCTAGGCCCAGATCGGGGGCCTGGGGAGGCCTGGAGCAGCTTCACTGGTGGGAGGAGCAGTTTCTGGTCTCAAGGAGGAAGGTGAGGAAACCCTCAAAGCAGCCCGTTTTTCTCTGTTTGTAAATGATCTAGCCATTTGGGGGCTTGGAATCATTGCAACTTAAATGGTAGAGAAAAGGTGTGTCTTTTATTTTGTAGCCCAGTTGAAGCTAGGGAACATTCCGGTGATACCAGCACTTCCCTGAAATTCGCAAGTT